TAAAGTATTTTTCTTTTAAATAAATGCCGTTTCTTTAACTTTCTATTCATCAAAGAATCCTGAAAAGGTGTATCACGATTTTTAACTGTCACCGTCCCACATGTGGGACGTTTGCCACTATATTTTTAAAACAATAATATCTTAGTAAATACCTTAAATAATATTGACAAACTATATATCATTTGAAAGCTTACAATCTCTAGTTTCCATATTTGGTGACTGATTTTCAAAATATATTACAGAGGAGCCATAATTTATCAATATAAAACAAGAATATTTTCATACTCATAAGGCGTGTTCAGACCTTTATTTAAAAATAGCAGTAAACATGAAAAATCATGAAAAAATGGTAGATACCTCAGTTTGTTTTCATGCCAAAAGTTCAAAAGATAGAATCCATTCAATTATTTTGGAAAAAAAGGTCTGAAAAGTTTGAAATATCAAGAAAAAAATAATAAATTCACCATTTGTGACGTAGCAGCTAGCTATGACTTACATGCGTGTTCTTTGTATGTGTTTCTTAGAGGTTCAATTCATATCAAAATCTGCCAAACTTCCCATGCTACTTCTGAATAGGATCTCTACTTCAGAAATTGTATGAAAATTGTGAAAATAATGGTTCATATCACTCAAAACAGGAATGGAAATGCAGACGCCCTTATATGGGCAGTAATGGAGTCTGATTGTGCCCTAGTGAAAAAGTTTGGTACTGCGCTCAAACAAAATCTTACTGAAAGCTCATTTTTTGAGATATCAACCTAAAATTTGAAACACAACTTGTTCAGATTTTTGGCTTTGATCTTTCTGCCATTTTAGAGTAGCCCAGGTTTTGAAAATATATATTTTATGTAAAATATGAATAATTAATATTTTTACATTGTACATTTCCATAAACTCAAACTTCTATAACTTTTTTTCTGTTTCCCTTTCTTAATTTATTTCACTTCTACAAAAATCTGCCAAATGTCTTCTTTAAAACAAGACGAATCATATGTCTATATTCCAAAGCATTCTTGAATTACAACCATTTAAGTTTGAAATGTGCATTTTCATGTCTATTCAAAAAGGGGGGGGGGTGACAGTTAACAGGTTAACAAAATTTTTAACCAGTATGAATAAGAAATTTCTTATTTCTGAAGGATCATGTGACATTGAAGACATTGAACAATTCAGCTTTGCCATCAAAGTAATAAATTACATTTAAAAATATATTAAAATTGAAAACAGTTGTGATAATATTTTTACCATATTACTTTTTATATTGTATTTTGATCAAATAAATGCACCTTTCGTGAGCAACCCCAAACTTGTTACATCCAAAATCAACTTAAAGGAGTAGTTTGTGATGTCATCCAAGATGTCCATGTCATTCTTTCTTCAGTCGAAAAGAAATCAAGGTTTTTGATTAAAACATTCCAGCATTTTTCTCCATACAATGCACTTTACTGGTAACCAAACGGTTCAAGGTCCAAAAGACACTTTCAGTACAAACTGCAAACTGTTCAAATGCCTTTAAACGATTCCAGATGGAATGGTCTTATCAAGTGAAACAATCAGTCATTTAATAAATAAATAACAAAGTTTAAGTTTTATAAGCTCAAATGCTCGCCTTGCTCTGTTCTTTGACGCACGTTTGTGACTCTCCTGTTCGAACTCATTCATCAAAATTAACAAATCTTTTTCCGAGTCATTTGGTTCATTGAACGAAATGAACGAATTGACTCGGAAAAAGATTTGTTCATTTTGAAAAGTGAAACTACTCCTTTAAACATCTTATTAAACATCAATTCCAGAGGTAGAGTGATAATAATAATTTTACAATAATATTTAATGTGATTTTTTTCCTTGTTTCAGCTGGAAACATTGCAAACAGACTTTGACAAGATGAAGTCTGAATATGACACACTGCTTGAGGTTCATCGCCAGGTAGTTACACAGCAAAACGGTCTTCAGAAGGAGCCGGAAGGATTCAAAGAGGTCTATAATGATAAATATGTAATCATAAATGTATCAGATTACTTAACATTCTTCTAATCTACAGTCAGCACCTGCTGTGTTACACTCTAATCAGTCAGTGCTGCAACATGGCTCTGATAACAAACACAATGTAACAACTCCCAGACCAAACTGGGAGAAATGTTCAGGTATCAGTCTCTGAATTTTCCATAAGGATTTCACCAAGTTTCTCTTCTTTATATAGCACATATGTTGAGCATTTGTTTTAGATATTGATTATCTAATGCATTTTATAGACACACTCGGAGGAATTGAACGATGTAGAGAGCTTTTTGAAGGTCAGTCCAGCCAAAAGAAGCTGGAGATCTTGCTGCAGGAGGTGAATGGACAGAATGAGTTCTTTACTGGCCTTGTAAGTGTTCCTAACATCCATCTATCTATCTATCTATCTATCTATCTATCTATCTATCTATCTATCTATCTATCTATCTATCTATCTATCTATCTATCTATCTATATATATATATATATTTGAAGAGTTCAGATGCAAAAGCCTCTAAGTGCCATTTGAAATTTTCTTTATAATGATAATTTTTTAACTTAAATGGCAATGAAGATTACCTATTAATTGTCATTTAAGTGAAATTACTCAACTTAAATGTACAAGCATGATAAAAATTATTATTCTAAAAGAAAATTTCATCTGAACTCTTGCATCTGAACTCTTCATTTGTAGAATTAATGCTAAGCGTGAATACTCTGATTTACAATATGCTTGTTGTGGACCTAACTGGATATTAAAATTGTTTTGACAGGGCACAACCAGTGACGTCCCCATTTATCTACAATATGAGGGGAAAATTAAGAATCTTAAGCTCAACAAAACAGATGTTATCAAAGTTATAAAAGATATCTGGAGGAACAAAACTACAGAGAATGAAAAGGTATGGCATACTAATATCCTGTCTTGATTTATTTAAACATCGAATAGTTGAGGATTTATAACTGTATTTCTCCACCCATTTTTCCTCAATGAAGATTGATCACTCCAGAGATCTGCAGGTGTTTCTTCACAGCTATCTTGTGGAACAGTATAAGGATATGTCCGCAGAGTGGGCTTACAGCTTGATGGAAAGCATCCAAAACAATCTTAAAGATGATTTCATCTGCCTTTTCAGTGACATCTTGACTGGGAAGGTTTGTGCTTAATCTAAGTTACAACCATTTGCCATATTGAAAAAGTCCATTGAAAGCAGTTTTTTCTTAATAAGGGCCTCCAAAACAATCCAGATTTGTATTGGGATAATTATATACTACTGAGATTTGCTGTATAATAATTGTGTGTCATTTTGTGGCAGGTTGATGAGAGTATCTACCATGGACAGACACATCTGCTGTCTCACTTGCTCAAGGTTTTTATTCAAAGTGACATAACACAGTGCGGATCACTAACTGTATTAGAATTTAGGTGAGTGACAACTTGTATGTCTTCAGTATAAATATATATGATTGTCATGTAATTATTGTAATATGTGTGCTGATTATCAGTGAGGCATTGAAGCAGGCTTTCCCCCTGAAGTCAGATCAGGACATAGATGAGCTGCTGATGACGGCTCAGACAGAGCTAAGGAGTAATGGAGTGCGCATTTCTTATCAGACACTTTATACAGAGGTCAGTTTGGATTTTCTTTGGCTAAGAACTAGAAAATATGTACACTACCATTCAAAACTATGAGTATGCACACCAAGGTTGCATTATATGTTCAAAAATGTTCTGCTCGAGTCATTTGTTTTGATCAATTGAGTGCAGTCGCTAAATAAATGTATTATTTATTTTCATTTAAAAAAAAGTACTGTGCCCAAACTTTTGAATGGTTCTGTATATATTAATGTTAGAACAACATCATGTTTTGTGTGCATGTTGTTTCCACTCCAGGACACAGATGGAAGACATAAAGAATTCCTGAGTCTAGTTAAAAAACAAGCTACCGCTGAGAGACTCCAGTACATCAGTGAGCTGAGAGTGCAACTTGAAGGCAAAGGGTGAGAAATCATCCATCCACTGTTTACAATTAAATGCATTATAAGATATATCGGAGTAAAGCCTGCATTGTCATAGTTGTGTCCTGTTTTGTATGTCATCAATGTAGGGAAGTGGACGCAGAGCATCTCGGGACTGCCTTCAAAACTATCGATCCTTCACTGGATTCTGAAACTCTGGACTGGTATCTCAGTTTAGCTTTTAAGACAAAGGAGTGTGAATTACAAGCTCAAGCTTTGAACACGGAGGTTGTGCTACAGCGTCTCTCTGTGGCGGATGTAAAAAGGGCAGGGCCAGCGCGATGACCATAGTTATGTCAAACACATTTTCAATTTTTCTTTTTATAGCACACCGACACTACATATATAAACCAAGCACAGCACCAGGGCATAGACGTACAGACTTGTTAATAGTTTGCATATTGTTATGGAATTAGAAAATTACATATCAGGAATGACACAATATTAAATAATTAGATAAAAAATTATATCAGTAATATGTTTCTGGCTATTTTTTTGCTTTCTATTAAAAACAAAAGAAACGTCATGCTTGTTATATTGACATTTTACCTAGAAAAAAAATCAAGAAAGCTGTGTTTGTATTGTCTGCATGTTATTTGTCAATAAATTGTACATTTATGTTTATTTGTATGTCAAATGTATTCTTATGATTGTTAACACTTTACTGTAACTTTAAAAATGTACTTTTCAACCCATGGTAAATGCAGAGAAGCACTGCGTTTGTGAGACCAATTTATCAGTTAAACTAATCGAAAAATAAACAGAACTGTTCAGCCACATGTAGTTTTATTTTACACAGAAGTTTTTAAATAGCTGAGAAGTTGTACAAATATGGGTTCTACTGTACAGGACAATACTAGAGTATTTTAAGTATACTATTCTTGGATTCACCTGCTGCTCGAAGCTCTAGTTTTAGATTTGGAAAGCAATACATCAAGAATCGGTTGACTCCTGACTGTCAAGAACCAAAATTGAAAGCAGTGTGCAAGTGCTTCGCGCATGCGCAAACCGAAGAGGCCGCTCAACTTCTGTTCACGGCGCGCTGGAAACGCCATAACTGGAACCGGGGGATTCGGTTTAGGGCTCACTGAGGTAAGATGTTGGCCATATATTACTTATAACTGTTAGCGATGTGTATACACTGCACATAACGACTTTATATACATACTTTATGCAAAGTGGGACTGTGGCTTTTTTCCAAGAATAATCTGAAGCGCTAGCTAATAAGACACGCCTATAGGACTGGAGCGTGTACGGGCCGCGCGAGGGTCTCGCGCCCGCATGCAGCTCATATGGCTCTGAGGTATTTTTAGAACGGAACGAGAGCGCGTTTGCTCCAAGTTGACCGTCACTATTCAAACTCCGAGTCGATATTTAATAAAGTAACGTTCACTTCAACGTAAAGCACAACTTTTTCCTCATCACAGTTTAGCCGGCGAGTTCGCTGTAGACAGTTAGCACGTCGGCTAAAGCTACAATGAATCAGTCTACACCGAGGCCAATGAAAGCTAGCTTAGCATGTTTACTTTTAATGGTTAACGTTATTTAGTTACAGTTCAATCAAATGGTGGTTGCGGTTGGAAGGAATGATTCCAACCACAACTCGGAAGTCATTATATCGTCAGTGATTGATTTGAATTTGAGTTAGTTTGCAACCAACCTAACAGTTACCAAGCTAAACATCTTTAAAATCCTCTTTGGAATGGCAAGACGAATGTTTTTTTTATATACAGACCAGTAATTAATTTAAGTTTCCTTTTATTTAGCTTCTCTAGCTTAACAGTAATCGTTCCAGCGTGTTGGGTTTAAGTTAGTTATTGTCACCCATACATTTGTTAGATAAATTGCCATTAACAGCTCTAACTAACTAAAAACGTTACCCCAGAACTATAAAAACAACGATTGTACGTGTTTGATTGCTGGGCACACTATACATTTTGGAGGAAATTCATCTGTTCAAGTTTGAAAGACTGCAGTGAATCATGGCCCAAGCAAGCACATGATACATTAACCACCAGCCAAACTTGCTGACAAATCTGTATGAGTGTCTAACAGGGTGGAGCAGGAGCGTGTCAGATTCCATGAGTTTCTATAAAGAAGTTTATAAAGGCCTGTTCACATCAAGGAGGATCACTATAAAGTTTTAACAATTGTTATAATTTATGAGAATACCGGTAGGTAAGTCCACACCACAAGTTACAAGTATTATGATAACTCTACAGAGGAACAATATCAAAATGATTTTTCCTGGCTGATGGGATATAAACATCAGCAGCCAATCAGAATCCACCCAACATTAAAGGAGTTTTTTTTTTTTTACCTTTATTTTACCTGTAAAGAAGCACATTGAGATTAAGAATCTCTTTTACAGGGGCGTCCTGGCCGAAACTGACAGACACAGAACATTTGAGTGTAACAAATAACATCCAACAATACAAACACATATACACACACAAGCAACTCTAGTACAATTTCAATATCAAATACATAACTAGCTAAAACATCTACAGCCCGATGTTTAGTTTATTTGAACCTTGAACCGTTTGGCTCCCATTGAAGTCCATTATATGGAGAAAATCCTGAAATGTTTCCATCAAAAACCTTAATTTCTTTTCGACTTAGGAAAGATCTTGGATGACATTGGGGTGAGTAAATTATCAGTAAATTATTAATTATAATCAAATTATTATTATTTTTTTAAATGAACTACTCCTTTAATTTTGTTGTCAAACAACAAAGATACCTTTAAGACAAAGGAATCAGGATTATTAGCCTGTATTTAATTCAGTCAGGACTAAAATACTACCCAGTGTTATTTTCCATTATTCAGTTTCTGTATTTATGAATACTAGTGTTAGACTTATTCAAAAACTTTTTGTGCTACTTTTTTCAATTTAATTAAACAATTTAAATCAAGCTTCCTTGTGTTGTGGGGTACAATAATACCCCATTGTAAAAATGCAATGAGCGCAAACATTTAGGCGCGATAAATATAATAATCTTGTTTGGAAATTTTTTGTACTTGTGATCTTGTCTATTGTTGTCATTTGTCAACCCTCAGTAAGTCATATACATTGAGTCATTCATTCTGTCTCCACTAGTGCCTGTAGAAGGGTGAATCAGAATGGGAGACAAGCCGATTTGGGAACAAATAGGATCCAGCTTTGTGCAACATTACTATCAGCTGTTTGACACAGACAGGACTCAACTTGGATCAATATATGTGAGTATTGTGTTTAGTTCCTTTGCTCAGGATAGTTCTCTCTTGACTAGTCCTTTAAGGCTCTCCCACACTAAAAGATTTTTAAAAACTTATCAGATTTTCAAAATGTAAGAGACCTCAAACGTGACGATAAAAACGTATATATTTAACAGTTTTCTTCCGAGTGCCTTGACATGTGACTTAGACAGCACACCACACACTAACAGATTCAATTCACAAACAACCGGAGTCCCCACTGTGAACACTGGAAATCTCGCAGTCAGACGTGACTTTAGAGTAAGCAAACATGGCAGATGACGACAAGACAAAATGGTGATAATAGAGTTGGACTGTTTTTTAAAGGGGTGGTATAATGCCCTTTTCACAAGATGTAAAATAAATCTCTTATGTCTCCAGAAATGAGTATGTGAAGTTTTAGCTCAAAATACCCCACAGATATTTTTTTATAGCATGTTAAAATTGTCACTTTTTGAGGCAGAGCAAAAACGTTTTTGTGTCCGTTCCTTTAAATGCAAATGAGCTGTTGCTCCAGGTACAGAGGGCGGAGCTTCAAAAAAGCTTGTGTCCTTTTACCTCACACAGACATGCACTGAAAATTTCAAAAACTTTCAGCCTTTTATGTTAAACCGGAGTCGACAATGATGGAAAGACTCAAGAAGAACATGTAGAATGCAACAGGACATTTCTGAATGGTTAGTTGATGAATTTATGTAGCTTATGTGTAGTTATCTTCTAGTCATTGATTAGCATATTCTGTCATGATAATCTACAAATCGTGTTCCCGGGGGCGGGGCCTATGTAAATTTTAGGGTTGGTGATGTCACTAACCTGGGAGGCGTTTGTTGTAGTCCTTCCTTAAACTGTATACGGGACACCCAACTTTACTTCGCTATATTACTATTAAATCCTAATCTAATTATGACAAACTGTATATCTTTGGAAACTAAAGGTCTGCTGTTTTTTTTGTTTTTTTTTTTGCTACAAATTATGTAGGAAGAGTAACCAATGGATTTTTGACAATTAGTGCACCTCAAAAAACAGGAGTTCTGACCTGTCACAAAAAGTTGACACACACCTTAAATAATTGAAACTTTGGTTTTCATGCTAAAAATTCATAATAAAACATATAATCTAGTATTTTTTCAATAAAAAAATATAATATTATCCTATAAAAAGTCTAATATATATATTATCCTCTAAAATATATCATCTTTTTTATTATATTACATATTTTAGTAGTTAACATAAAGTAGGTATCATTTGAACGCTTAAAAACTCCGAATTCATCCTGTGAAAACAATTTGGAAATTGAACATTGCATTACCATAGAAACTGTATTATCTAAGTACCAAAATGAAAGACCTGTTTCTATTTGTCGCTCTCCCTTCCCTTGGTGCAATAATTTGTCCACGCCCACTACGCAGTCCCGTCAGTCTGATTCTGGCCGAGTGAGGGGTTATAGAGTGCATTATAGGTTGCGTTAGATATAAGATATAACACGTGGGCTTAATAATGCCCTAAAGAATATACATTTTGATCATTATTTACATTAACAATTTTATAGAATTTAATATTGCATAATATAGTTGCATGAGCCATTTCGGAGCGCTCAGTCTTTTTCAGCCATGTTCAAGGATGTGCTAAATATGACCATGGCTGATGACGAACACTATAATGCCCTAACAAAATCCAAAGTTTGATTATATTTCACTCTACCAAACTTTTATAAACTCTTGAACTCTACACAGGTGACATTATACAGCTGCTTTATTGCACTTTCTGCTCATTTGCTGCTGGCTTTCTTGGCCATTCACCTTTGATCCTATTATAAATTTCTCATTTACACAGCCTTTATTCTTATAAGGCCCTAAATCAATGAGATTCATCTTGTTATTGCATTTAAAATGCCAAAAACTGTTTTTTTTTGTTTTTTTTTAAGTACAGTAGTTATTTTTGCTCGAGTCTCAAACACAGTTTGTTTGATTGTATAAAAAAGACACAAAAAACTAAATTCAATCACTCTTAACACACCTCGCACCACAGGAAAATCTGATAAGAGAATGAGTAAGAACCATCAAGATAATCGGGACTTCACCTAGCTTTGTTGGAAGGGGGGAATTAGGCAAAAAATCGGCCCGATTGTCTTGTAGTGTGTGGATGCCTTTAGCTAAGAGAGAGAGAGATATCAATTAGAAATGTTTTTACTGTCTCTCTGTCTTGCCATCACGTTAGTGTTCAAAGCGTCCCTTGGTTTATGTCTTGCAGAGTGACGCTAGATGCCCAGTAACAAACGAGTTTTGTCGTGTGTTCAACAGAAGAGTCTTTTCAGGCCAGAATTGTTGTTTGCCTAAAATGCTTATACTTGGATCTATATATTGAGCAACATATAAAAGATGTTAAGTAATATTGATGTTGGATATTTGTTGAGGAAATTTAACAAACAACATATATTAGTATAATCTGTAGATTAAACAGTATTTGTTAATTTAAAAAAATGTTCTGCTGTCGATTGGAAACCTTTTATCTCCATTTATTTATTTCAATAAATCATTGCTATTGGTCACCCTTTACATCTATCTATCTATCTATCTATCTATCTATCTATCTATCTATCTATCTATCTATCTATCTATCTATCTATCTATCTATCTATCTATCTATCTATAAAAGGCTAATGTTTTATGTATTTGAGGAGCAAAGAAGTGTGTGTTGGTCTAGCATTTGTCATTGAGTCGTAAACAATACTGTCTTAAATGGCCTGTGTATAGCACATTGTTTTCAGTAATACAAGATTTTGGCCAAATGACAGAATAAACTGAGCACTTTATAACCCGTAAATTGATGAAAAGGTAATGCGATGCACTTACTGCCTCAGATGCAGCCGTTCTAATGACGGACAAAATGCAAATTTCTGAAATTCTCCAAAGTTCGCTGGTTAAAAAATTTTGGTAAAATGTTAATAATATAATCGACACATCAAAGTCTGATTATATAAAGCCATAGGAACTTTGACAATGCGGTTTAATTGTTTGAATTTTATTTATTTATTTATTTTTCATTTTCTGAAAAGTTGTGTTTTTGGAGATACAAGGTTTCCACCCGACAGCATAGAGATTATATATACGTGTGTATATAAATGTACGTATAATGGTGCTTTTCCACTGCATGGTACGGTACGGTACAGGTCGCTCCGGCTTTGCTTTAAAAGGTACCACCTCTGTTGAGTTTCCAAGCGTACCGTACCGATACTAAAATGTGACGTGAACACACTGCAGATGACTGATTGGTCAGAGTCAGACAGAATCGTTTAACATTTAACATTTATTCATTTAGCTACACTTTTATCCAAATCGACTTACAATTGCTATATACAGTATGTCAGAGGTCGCACGCCTCTGGAGCAACTAGGGGTTAAGTGTCTTGCTCAGGGACACATTGGTGTCTCACAGTGGATTCGAACCCGGCTCTCTCACACCAAAGGCATGTGTCTTATCCATTGTGCCACCACCACCCCTGGAGTGGATAAACTACGGTCAGACTATAATCCCACCCACTTTCAAGCAGTACTAACTGCAGTGGAAAAGCAAACCGAGCTAAAGCGAAATGAGCCGCGCCGAACAGTACTGAGCTGTACCACCAGCAGTGGAAAAGCGCCATAAGACTGCTGCACTATCTACATATCGGCTTATTTAGCTCATCTACATGTTCTTTTTCTCTTAGATTGATGCGTCATGCCTTACATGGGAGGGTCAGCAATTCCAGGGAAAAGCAGCCATTGTCGAAAAGCTTTCCGTAAGTATTTGTGTTTTTTTTAGAGGTGGAATTTGATTCAAAGTAGTTTAATAGGATAGGGTTCAAATCATTTATCGGCAGATATCGAGATGCCGATTTTATATATATTGTGCATCCCTAGTAGTAAGGTATCTTTCCATTTAAACATAGATAATTCATACATCATTTTTTGTTTTTATCTTTTTCAGAGCCTGCCCTTCACAAAAATAGCTCACAGCATAACAGCACAGGACCACCAGCCCACCCCTGATAGCTGCATAATGAGTATGGTAGTAGGCCAACTAAAAGTAAGTACATTTTCTTTAAATTTAGTTTTGGTTTCTGACAGTTATGGTATTGCAGCAACGCTTGAGGTGAACAGTTTTGGCAAATATGTATGTGTTAAAGGTCTAAAAGGGTATTCTTGCCCATTTGAAATGCATAACATCACCTTAATCCCAGTGGCATTTAAATGGAGAGCAGCCGTGGAAGGTTTCATCCTCTCTTGATTTTCCCTCTCACCTAACGTGACATGGTAGTGCATAGTCAAAGATTTCATAAGTGTTTCAGAGCTGTAGTGTATGTGTTTGTCTATCAGGCAGACGATGACCAGGTGCTGGGCTTCCACCAGACCTTTCTGTTGAAAAGTATCAACACTGCCTGGGTTTGCACCAATGAAGTCTTCAGGCTTGCCCTGCACAACCTTTGAGCTTAAAGGCTCTCATGGTCACATGGCTTTTCCTCCTCCTAATAATGTCTGTAAGGACCAGTGTCCGCTTAAGTTCACGCACACCATACAAGCTCTCTACTAACTGCTTAAAGCTGTGTTCAGATCAAGCATGATCAAGTGTGTGGATCTAGTGTGGAGGGAATGTCATGACATGCTGCATTTGTTGATGCCAATTTGCCAGTTTGTTGATTTCGTTGTGCCTTTGCAGGTTCAAAACAACCTATGAATGAGTGACGTGAAAAAAAGCGAGTTAAACTTACTGAGCTCTGACTTTTATTTTGACCTCGAGATTTTTAATAAAGAGCTCTGTATTTTAGCCATCATGAGATAACACGAGTTCCTTCAGAAGAAAAACTAATCTGAACTCAGTGTGTGAATGGCACTTTTTGTTTCAGTTGCATTTATTGCATAAATATTTAGTTATTAAATATTTGACCATTAGGGTCAAATTAGTTTTAATTTTGTATTTATTACGTTTTAAATTAGGTTTTATTTTTATATATTCATTTTTAATTTTAATTTAGGTTTTTATCGTTTTAAATAATCTAAATTGTTTTATTCTAGTTTTATTCATTTTAGTACTTCGGCTCAAAGTTTTTTCAGTTAGTTGCCCAGGCATTAACTTAAAGTTGTCGTTTTTTCTAATATTTATTTTCTGTTTATTTTCATCTTTGTTTTTAATAAAAAAATTATCCATAGTTTTAGTTGACAATAACAACACTGAGTGTTTAGAGTGTTTAGTGATGCACGATGTGAAAATTTGTGGCCGATACAATAACCGTTATTAATATTGCTGTTATGGCCGATACCGATAACCGATAAAACACATAGCGAGGATTAGGGCTGCACAAACAATTTCACCGGATGACTTGAATTGCTTAGCAATTAAAAAAAAAAATTCTATATTATATCGGCGGGCGATATATCGTGCACCACTAACAGTGTTAAATGTGTACTAAAATGACATCTCCAAGTTTTAACAGAGTTTAACAGAGAACGGTGCATGGGTTATCTTGCACTGAAAGCAATTTATAACCTTGTTAACCTTCTATTGCTTGACTTACATCAATGTGTGTATTTAAGGAGATAGTTCACCCTAAAATTAAAATTAAGTTATCATTTACTCACCCTGGTGGTGTTCTAATGCTGTACGCCCTTCTTTGTTTTATTTCGGACCACAAAAGGAGAATTTGGCAGTGAATAGCGACCAGCGTCAAACTTGTTAATAAAGACGCAAACGTATCACAAAATGATCCCATGCAACTCGTTTCATATATTCCAAGTGTTTTGGTGGTAAAACCGAAATTTAATGTATTTTTTAATGAATATCCTGACCTTGGCCGTTGAACTCTGCACGGCTATGCCACGTGAGACTCTATTAGCACCACAGGACACACAAGTTGTGTGATAAATCAAGATTACTTAAAACCACGACATAAAATGCATTGGCTACATAGATACAAGCATCCATGTACTTTCTCCAGCCTGGGAATACCGGTTATCAGATGACAGTCAGAATGACTCAATAACTTCTTGTTAGGATGAACACAATGGATATATTCACCTTAGAAAAGGTACTCGGATGGATTATATTTCATATCGTGTTTTTGGTAATCTTGATTTCTCACAACTGCAGCGCTAGAGTCTCATGAACGTGCAGTTGAGCATGAAAGACCATGGCCAAGGTCAGGATTTTTGTAAAATAATAATACATTAAATTTCGGTTTGCTTTTCACCAAACCCTATTGCATTCCTACTTGTTGCATGGGATCATTCTGTAATACTTTAGCGTCTTTTTTAAAAAGCTTGATGCTGTTTGCTATTTACCGCCATTACGAGCACGAGCAAGACATTTCTTAAAAATTCAGATTTTGGGGTTTGAAAAAGAAAAAAGGGAATACGCCATTAGAACAACACCCGGGTGAGTAAATGATGACTTTATTTTAATTTTAGGGTAAACTATACCTTTAATACAATACAATAACTTGTCTTGGGTTATTGTATTATTTATAGTGATTCATTACTGAAGATAATTTGAGCCCAGAACTAGGCTCAGTGTTTATGAGAAACTGACCCAGATTGTTTATCACCTTTCCATGCATTTGTCTTGTATACAGTCTTGTTTTTTATTTTTATTTCACCTTCTCTGACCAACACGTCCTTTTAAAAAAAATATGAATTAAATTAACTCCTTATTGGGGAAAACTCGAGAATATTTGTGACAGACTCTCAGCCTTTCTGTATCTGAATTAATTTGCCTTGAAATTTGCTAAACATATCTGAAAACATGCATGATTTTTGATTAAGTGTAACAGAATTTTAATTTTTAGCTCTGGTTTAGCTATACCCCTTCTGTTTAATGAAGCGCTGCATCTTTCGTCTAAGTCTCGGTGTTTCTGCTTCGTCTAGGCAGATGATGACCCCATCATGGGATTCCATCAGAGCTTCATCCTGAAGAACATTAACGAGGCGTGGGTTTGCACCAATGACATGTTCCGCCTGTCGCTGCACAATTTTGGTTAAATGCCCCATGGCTAGCAGGAGGGAAGTGGGGGAAGGTGGAGGATGGGGCCCGCCCTGATGACGCCTGAACCTGTCAATCAGCCCTTCATTCATCACACTAAAGAGAAACGGCACCGGATTACAGCAGTCAATCACAGAAAACATGCAGTACTGCCTCTACTCCAGAAATGACATGTTTCTTTGCTGAAAGCCCACACATCCATCAAACTGACCCTTTTCCTTCCCCAACCTGCATGATGATGGGGAGCTTAAAGATCAGAGGACGCCCTGACCAGGACAAATACGTATTAACCTAACCTCGGCTGTTTGATATTTACATTTTAGTTGCTGATTTTTGACTTTGAAATAACAACTGTCTGTCTTTGTTTGCTTAAGTACAAAGTGTTATCAGCTTGTTTTTAGAATATGCTCCGTGAATTTAAATTTTTTTTTGTTGTTGTTGTTTTTGCCCCCCTTGGAAATTGGTGTCTCCATTCAGTGTGATGTCAGGTTGCTCTAGCTATCCAAAGAACACAACCCTAATTTCCCCTTCCCCTCAGACCAGTGTGCTTCCCGATTTCTGCTCACTGCTCTCTGTGACAATAATTACCAAGCCACGATACACAATAAAACCTTTGACTTTTTCTTAACAACGTCATCTTGTTCATCCCCCCTGTCTGGTTGTGCCTCTACCTTCTTTCCCCTTTTCTAAGCTTGACTGTTCATATTTTTGATACTGTTTCATATTAGATTCTCTCATGAAGGTTTTTGTTTTATTTGAGAAAAGCCAAACACAACAGAGCCGGTATTTCTCTTGTTATAGGTGGCCAGTGTCTCCTGAAGCAGATGTTCATACTAAAAATTATTTTCTATGTAACCCTAACCCTATGAATGGTAGAATCATCAATGGATGCTCTTGTTGAAAAAAGGAGCGTCCTCTAATGATGCTACATCACATGGCAAGTTTAGGTATGGATAAGAATGAGTTTGAGACAAACAGAAAACCCCCAGAAATGCAGATTCATTTTCATTTAGTCTTTCAATTTTAGTTTAGAGGCTTCTTTTCCCCAGAATGGGACGTTATGCTTCATATGCTTTTTATGTTTTGTTAGTTTGAGTGTAAATGCCATCGAGTTTGTAGTGCCCAAAGCTGTTATTACCTTCAATGTTTAGGGTTAAATTTTGACATTACCGTCTTAAGAAGGATCACGAAGCATGAAACATGACATCAAAAATACTAGTCTGTGGGAATAAGAGGTGATTCTCTTCATTTTCACATGTTTACACTAAAGGAGTTATGCTCATTGTTTAGGGTTAGAAAATCATATTCATAAAATATGATGGCCTTTGTGCCAAGAGATGGTACAGATATTTTAGAGAGATGTCTTCTGAGTTGTAGCTTTTTGCACTGAAATATCTAAACGGATAGAACATCATTATAACGAGTCGCCTTCTCGCATATTTTTGCTGGGCAAATACATGTATTGTTCACGTACGTCATGCTTGCTCGAACCTGCAGAAACACCCTCTCATTTGTGGTTTGAGGGGAATAGCAAAAAAAAAAAAAAGAATAGATTTTTTCCAACTAAAACAACAGTAATGCAATGTGAATACAGTAAGAGACTACTTCAGTTGCCTACATGTATGTGGAAATAAAGGAGATCAAAGTAAAGTGTGATATTGTTATTTCTGTAGGTGGTGAATGAGCTAGGCCTAGTTGAAACATATTTTTTTTCTTGCTTTAGATGATTTTCTGACAACTACTAAACATGAAATAAGTAAAATATATTGATAATAACACGACAATAAAACAGAAATATTTATTAGTGATCTCTAAAAACAGGTATCTTTTTTAATGTAAGCGTCCGTCAAGTCAAGTTAGGTGATTCTGTCCGGAACTAAAGAAATCCTGCCAGCAGAGGCGGGGGAATGAAATACAGGGAACGCTCAACGGAAGTTGAGGGACGGTTGCAAGCTTTAATGAGGGGCGAGCTCAGATACTTAATTAAACTTGAGAATTTGACCGTTTCCAGCGAATTAATCCCCCCTTCCCTACTTTATGGCTTCCAGTTCCAATATGGACATAGAGGGCGCGACCCAGCACCTCCGGGACATCTTAAAACTGGATCGTCCCGGTAATTCGGCCGGTAAGTTGCCGGGGAAGGGAGCAGCTAGGCCGCGGTGCGATGATGCTGCGCAGCGCTTGATTTCAGCGCGAGCCACCTGACTATAGTTGCTCAAAAACGCGGGACAACACTAACTAGATTTTATAAGTGGCAAAAATTATTATTTTGTGTAATATTGTGATTGACTAAAAGGGGTTAACGTTTATGTAGCAAATAAGGTCCACACTCCTGCTGGCGCAGCAGCAGCTTTGCTGAGACAGAAAGTGTTGAGTATTAATTGCGACGATATGAGAATAAATTTCATTCAAGAGTCTAAAACACTTCATATTTATCATTATGAGGTGACTTGATAACCGTGACCACAACAAACATTGTTTTTATCGAATTTGAGAGAAGGCATGTAAACATTTTTTTTAGAAACCTTGACAACTTTTTATGCATCATCGCTACGGGGTTTCTGCAGGTCTTAAAAAGTCTTAATTCATCCTTACACAAACGAAGGCCTTGAAAAAGGGCTTAAATCAAAACAGAGAGTCTTAAATTCATAAAGGCATGGAATTAAATGTTACATGTACTAATCTAAAGCGTCTGAAATCAAGATACACTCATTGGAGAAGCAAAATGTAAAATCAAGTCTTGAAAAAAGTGACATGCTTAAACCAAAACCAAATGACCAAATGTCAATGAGTGATAAAACCTTCCATTTGAATTAAGTTGTTTTTTTCTGATCTCATCAGGCAGACTTGATCTTGTTTTAATCATAAAAATCACATCATTTTGATCAATTTCACAGAAAGCAAGACGTAATATCTTAGGTCTTAATATCTTTGCTTCTCCAGTAAATGTATCTTGTTTTAAGAATGTTTAGATTTTTTTATTTTTTTATTTTTTGTACTGGAAAACAAGACAAAAACACAGATGAAGAAATTTATCTTTTCTTTTTCTGCCAGAAGGTACAGTAAAACTTGTCTAAATTCCAGTGGTTGGGAGAGATACATTTATTTATTTAGCTGACGCTTTTATCCAAATTGACTTACAATCGCTATATATGTCAGAGGTCGCACGCCTCTGGAGCGACTAGGGGTTAAGAGTCTTGCTCAGGGGCACATTGGTGTCTCAAAGTGAATTCGAACCTGGGTCTCTCACACCAAAGGCATGCGTCTTATCCATTTCGTCACCACCACCCCATATATACAGTAAATAACACTATTTATAATAGTGTAATATAAATAGTGTAAAACACTATTTATAATATATGGTGCCCCCTTAAAAAAAATCAAGACTCACATGAGTGACATCCTGTACGTGCACAGGGGGCAGATCTCAGAGCAGCTTCAAGCTAGTTGGTTGTAACCTAGTTTGTATCGGAGTTTGGTTATAAAAATAATTTAGTAATGGATACCTGTTGAAAGTCGTATCTTCAAGCTTTGAAGTGTTGCTAATACAAATCATTGTTTATTCTGCCTTTGACACTTAAAAAAACATATTGATGTAATTTATTCCTTTCTATAAGTTATAAATAGCTAACATAACTTATGTAATATAATTCAAGTAATTATTCTAGCGATATGTAGGCCTAATGCTAGATAAGGTTTGCTAGTACATTTGTAACAGGGTTCAGTTGTTATGGGAAAAGGGAGGCGGGAACCGGCAAACATTCAACAAGTTTAATAATAAATAAACAAATACAAAATGAAAGTATAATCCAGCAGCCCCTCACGGACAGAACATAAAATCAGGCCTGTTCCTCTCTCCACTGTCGTCGCTCCTCCTTTGTTTTTGCTCCTCCTGTAGAGATACGAGACCGATGCGTCTCACAGGTGTCCTTCATTATCACTCACACCGTCGGCCTCGTGCCGCTCTCATGTCCTTGTCCCTCGGCCTCGTCCTGCTCGCCACAATATTATTTCAGCAACATGACAAAAGCCAGTGAATTAGCAGGTTTCAATTGTTGCTTTGCACAGTGCGTGACATTTTATCTACATGTAACGTGGCTAGAGTTTTGACACCCGAGTCAATGGGCTCTGTCTAATTCTTTCTTTTTCGCTTGTTTATCGTCATCATTTCGTCTTTGTTTTATGAGCAGGAGCCGCTCAAGAATATGCAGTTTAGGTTGTTTCTCCGCCATTAGCACAACTGCAGTACACCGGCAAACTTGAGTTTGGTTTGAATGACGGTGTGTTGTGCAAGAGGGGTGTGATCAGCGCGTACATGAGCGTGATTGACACTGCTGTTAGGACATAATGACAGTTTTAACAAATATGTAAAAAAATTATATTTATTTACAAAAGTTACCTACTGCAGCTTTAACACGCATATATACGTGTGTGTGTGTATGTATGTATGTGTATCCATATATACACATATATATATATACATTTATATATATGTGTGTGTGTGTGTATATATAATATATATATATATATATATGTGTGTGTGTGTGTGTGTGTGTATGGAGTTTTATATATACACATACATACATATATACTGTTAAGCATAGATAATCATTTATATTGAGATGTTTTGGAAGTCAGAGGATGTACATGTGCATTTAAGACTTGATTTATGAATCAAATATTTCCACAGATTCCTCTTTGGTAGAGAGCCAGAGAAATCTATCTTTCAATGGAGAGTCGAATGGTGTTTTTGGAGCGGATATTATCAACGCAGGAGGACATGCAGAAATGGTGGAGCCGACTTCTCACAACTCAGACAAACTCAATGGACAGGACACACAGACTATGTATGTATTTGCAGTCATTAACATTGTATAATATTTATAACATAATTGTATAAAATTATTCTCATCCCTGAATAAACCATTATTGTTTTGATGTCATTATCTATATGATCTGTATTTTCATTATGTACTTAAAATATTTACACTACTGAAAGAAGTTTCATTTGTTTGATTAAAAATACATGGGAAAACTATGTGAAATATTGTTTCAATTTAAAATAACTGTTTTCTATTTTATTATTTAAAAAATGTAATTCTTTCTTGTGATGGCAAGCTGAATTTTCATCATCATTACTCCAGTCTTCTGAGTCACACGATCCTTCAAAAATCATTCTAATATACTGATTTGCTGCTCAATAAACATTTTTTTATCAATAGCTATGTTTGAATTCTAGTGTATGTTAAAAAAAAGAAGGTATTTCATAAGTCTGTTTTTTGTACCAGCTGCCTTTCAGGAGATGATGAGTCCACCTGTGTCTCCATCAGAGCAAACAATGTGGAAATTGTGTCCAGCCGTGACTCTAGTATTGACAGTAAGGCTCGTGGTAGCAACAAGGTGTGTAAATTAATTAATTAATTGTGCAAAACTGTGTTTGTTATTAGCAGTTCAGGGTTTCGCGGTCATGGAAAACCTGAAAATATAAGGATATAGTCATTTGAAATTAATAAAATCTTTAAAGTCATGGAAATTTCTTGTCAATAAATCTTCCAGCTAGAAAATATTTACTTAGCTTAGTAAAAACTCTATAATTTGATTTTTAAAAACCAGCTATTGGGAAACTTGTAACGATTAATAGATCAAAATATGTAGAACTCCTGGAAATTGTTTTACACTCTGAATCTTTTCCTCATGACTGCCTTACAGGTTAAAATACAGCCAGTGGCCAAATATGACTGGGAGCACAAGTACTACTATGGCAATTTAATAGCCGTGTCCAACTCATACGTGGCTTATGCCATCAGAGGTCAGTTTGCAGACATTTTTCTGTTGCTGTCTTTGTACATGGCTCATTTAGCACACTCCTTTGAATAAAATGTTGACGGGATTCAAATGAATGGTTTGTAATTGTTTATCGCTCACAGGTGCAAACAATCATTCGATGATCCGTGTGCTGCAACTGGGCTCGACGGAGCGTTCGCTGCTGAAGGGCTTCACCGGTGCAGTCACAGACCTTGCCTTCGCCCACTTAGACTCCACCCTCTTGGCCTGCGTGGATGAAGCTGGAAACATGTTCATTTGGCAGCTCACTAGTCACAACGGCAAAATACAGTATCCTCTGTAGATGGACATTTACTAGACTTTTTTTTTTTATGTTTGTTAAAAAAATATTCACAAATACAAGAGGTTAATGAGATACCCAAAGTATTTTTTGTTTTAAAAATTAACATGATCAGTGTGACGAATATACCTTAAATAATATTAAAAATTTCAATTTATCACAAATTTCTCCTAAAAATCCTAAATCTGTCTCCTTTTCAGGTTGAATTAAAAAAGTCTGGATTTACATGTATTTGTAGTAAAAGGTTCACTTGAGTCCACTTTTGATATTCTACTGACTAAGTAACTTGCTAACGTGTTACAATAAGGTCTCATTTGTTAACGTATTAACAATGAGCAGGACATTTACAGTGTTTATTAATCTTTTGTAAATGTTAGTAATAAAAAAATCCGTGTGGATTAACTAATGTTAACACACAACTTTTTATTTTAATAATCTATTAGTAAATGTGGAAAAAACATGAACTAAGATTAATAAATGCTGTAGAAATCCTTACTGTAAAGTGTTACCAGTAACTTTACTAAGTATAAGTAATTTTACATAATACTAACTATAGTAACTTTACAGCAACTACATGTCAACTAACTCTCATTAGTGTATTAGACTGGTTAGGGTTCGGGTAAATGGAATAAGTTAACATGTAGTTGCAAAAGTTATTTATAATTAGTAGAATCTGTAGTGGGACCATCAAAATAAAGTGTTAGCAGATATTAAGCATACAGTCTACTAATACTCTGAGAGTTAGGTGACGGTTGCAAAGTTACTTATAGTTTGTAGATTATTTAAAGTGGACCACCGAAATAGTGTTACCTAGTAAAATGCTAATAAGCAGGTGATATTTCTCTTTAACATCGATGTCTCTTAGAGATGAAGTGATCGTTCACATCCACAGGCCTGAGGACACTCCACTTAATTCCAACCGCAGACTCATCTGGTGTCCCTTTATCCCAGAAGACAATGATGAGAACCCGGAGGATGCATGTCAGACATTGGCACTGCTTCATGAAGACAGAGTAAGTTTTTTTTGTGTGTGGAATTTGATAGTTTTATCACTGTCTTTCTGAAATGTCCCCATATTATTAGATTTTAAATGTTTTTAACACTATTACTCCTTAACTGGATTTTTGCTTGTACTTTTAGGCTGAGGTTTGGGACCTTGACATCCTCCGATCCAATAACAGCTCATGGCCTGTGGATGCCACTGAACTGAAAGAGGGGTTTATCACTATTAGAGGACACACAGCAGTAAGTCCTGCCATCCTTTAGACTGCAGTGCTGTATTAACTAATTAAGAAATGCGATCCATTTAATGTAATCAATGGCACATAAATTAGTTATGTACTTATGTAGTGTGATGTTTATAATTAAACATATTACTTTTTCTATGCAGCGCATTAGTGAGGGAGCGCTGTCACCTGATGGCACTGTCTTGGCCACAGCAAGTCATGATGGATATGTCAAATTTTGGCAAATCTACATTGAAGGCCAGGACCAACCCAGGTACATGCTGGAGACGTTGTGAAATTGAACACACTGCAAAAATTTTAGATTTGTAAGCTTGTTTTAATTTAAGAAATTAATACTCATTCAGCTAGGATGCATTCATTTGATCAAAAATGACAGTAAAGCCATTTATAGTGTTAAAAAAAGATTTATATTTCAAAAAAGTGTTGGTCAATTTTTTACAAAAATATTAAGCAGTACAATTGGTTTCAACGTTGATGATAGAATCAAAATATAACAAAAATTCTGATAAAATATCTGAAATGTTTTTTTTTTTTTGAGCACCAAATCAACATCATCTGTCTTTTTATGCGCCTACGTTCCTTTTATAGATGTTTGCATGAATGGCAGCCACATAATGGACGACCCCTTTCCTGCCTGCTCTTTTGTGACAACCACAAGAAGCAAGACCCTGAGTGAGTTTAAAGTTCATTTAGTCTTCAGTGATCGCAATTACATTTTTGTCAGCATCTCAAGTCATCAGGGAATCTGACTCTTGGCTTTAACTGTCTTTGCCGTTGTCTTTACTCTTTGAAATTGTGTGTCTTAGACATGTGCTGTGTATCTTTGAATATAAAACCATTTTTGTTTTTCTGAAGAGTTCCGTTTTGGCGATTCCTGATCACTGGAGCTGATCAGAACCAGGAGCTGAAGATGTGGTGCACAGTGTCCTGGACCTGCTTACAAACCATCAGGTCTGTATTGAACTATGGAGCTTGCATGATCAATAGAGGTGTTTACATTTTTATTCGTTAGATATGCCCACAGTTATGTTCAAGGTTCAAAGGTTAGTTCACCCCAAAATGAAAAGATTTTCATCGCTCACCCTCATGTTGTTTTAAACCTGCAAGTCAATGGTTCATTTAGAAATCCAAATGAAGCTATTTGATGAAATCTGAGAGTTTTTTTGTCCCTCCATTAACTGTCCACTCAACTACCACTTTGTTGCTTTGTTCATAAAGAGATTGTAAAACTAATACTAATAAATTAATCATGTGTGTCCTGAAAATTTGGACTAAACCACTCAATTCACAAGGATTAGATTTACGATCTCTTATAAAAAATGTTGAAGTGACAAAGTGGTAGTTGTAGACTGTCAATGGAAGGACTGAAATCTCAGATGAAAGAATTTTAATTTTGGGGTAAACCTACCCTTAAAGGGATACTCCACTTTTTTTTGGAAATAGGCTCATTTTACAACTTACCCAGAGTTAAACAGTTGAGTTATACCGTTTTCAGATGTATTCAGCTGATTTTCTGATATTCAGAAGAATAGCAGTAAACAGACAGTTTCTGGTCTCATTGACTTCCATAGTATATTTTTTTCCTACTTTGGAAGTCAATGAGACCAGAAACGGTCTGGTTACTGATATTCTTCTAAATATCAAAAAAATTGGCTGAATGGATTTGAAAATGGTAAAACTCAACTGTTTAACTCTGGGGAAGTTGTAAAATGAGCCTATTTCCAAAAAAAAAGTGGAGTATCCCTTTAAAGCATTAAACTTTTGCCTATACCTTAACTCTATGGATGTGACCTAAATATGAATTTTAGAAGAACTGTTCATTTGTGTTTCAGGTTTTCTCCAGATCCATTTAACAGCAGTGTGCTACCCAGCCTGAAGGCCAGTTTGGACTTGTCTGCAGAGTTTCTTATCCTTAGTGATGTTCAGAGGAAGGTTAGACTCATTATTATTTCATATTTATTGCCCACATGTTTTGTTTACTCACTCTCATGGTGTTTCAAATATGTATGATTTTCTGTCTTCAACAATTAGTTATTCTGCAGAGTGTCCATGCTGCTCATTTAGATTCAAATTCCATTTTAAGTCGTTATTCACTGAAACCTAGCTCATATGGCGCCCTGGGTGAATTTACGGTGGCCGAAAAAGCTGTATTTCAAGAAAATTAAAATTAAAAAAAGAGAACACCAACAAATTCAGTTTGACAACTCGTGCTGCAAATAGTGCTCTTAATGAAACTAAATACAAAAAAGTGCTGCAAATAACACAGACCACGACTGAAATGTTTCACCGGGATTGCACACCGAATCGCGACCAGGTGGTGCGTTTCCTAAAAACTTTTAGCCAACTATGGTTGCAAGTTCCATTATTGGTAATGACAAAACTTCAGACTGTAGTTGGCTTTGGGAAACACACCCCAGGTTAATTCCCTGTGACATGATATATTGACTTTTCGCGGACGCCCTGTGCCACCTCCGTAAAGATGTCGATTGCCCATGCATAAATCTGCCACGGCACTGAAAAACTCTCCCTCTGGTGTAGCTCTTAAATGTTACTCATTCATATGTTTAGTCTTTTGGAAACATTGACGTCAAACCTGATGCAAAACGTCTTCAAGCACCAATTGTGGATGGGAGATAATCAGGAATCTAATAATTGTCTCACACCAGAAGAAACTAAAATTAGATCTGTCTGCAGGTTTTTGGAATTTCAGTTATTTTAGGACAGGTAGAAAGACAAAAAGGAAGTATAAAAGCACATTTAAAGTAAACCATGGTCAACTATCTAACTCTGTTTAATGGGACTCTTGAGCTTAGGTCAGTGTTGCTATTACAACAAGCAAACAATGACATTATGTAAGTAAATAACTGGTTGTTTATTGGCAGCTGATTCTGGGTTGTGTGTTTGATATGTAGGTGTTGTACGTCATGGAGCTGTTACAGAACCAGGAAAAAGGCCGTGCCAACTTCACTGCAGTTTCAGAGTTTCTGCTTACATACCCTGTGCTCAGCTTCGGCATACAGGATGTTGCCCGTGCACGATTGCGACACACTGAGGTCCTTCCCCCTGATGAGGAAAGTGAAAGCATGACAACAGGTCCGTTCCTCCCTTGTTTTAATGCTAGCTTTGCGTGTGCAAATGTTTGGTTTGCTGTAAGGTGAGTGAAGATGTGTTCAGATGACGCTTTCAATGCTGTTCCCTTTTGATATCTTCTCACAGAAGGAAGCCAGGGACCCTCAGAGTCCAAATCAGGAATCCAGATTAAACTCTACTGTGTGCATACAAAGTGAGTTATTTACATACAAAAAACATCTCTCGATGGAGGCATACGATTTGTATTCAGATATTCATATTCATAACACTTATGCCTACAGATCACTACAGGATGTGCAGATCTGGTTCCAGCCCAATCAGGGGGCCTCATCCTCCCTTTTCATGCCTCAGTCTGGATCACAAGATGGCTTTGGTGAGTCTGGAAAGTATACTATTATTTTTTACATATGTTTCCGAGACCGTCACTACTGAATCTACAGTGCTATGGCAAAGAAATGAAGTATTTTACCCAAATTATTGTCTGAATTAAGGTGATGAAAAAAATCATTGTGTTGCGTGACTTGTTTATATATCTTATGTATTTAAATATGCATTTTTTATTTTAAAATTTAAATGTTATGCATTTTCACAATATGGGATTTTTTTGCATTTCGCTAGGTTTTTCTGACCCGCTGGCTGATCTGAATGTGGAAGCAATGAGCTCTGATAAGGAGTCTGGGGACAGTGGATCACAGAACGACCTGAGTAAAATTCTGCCACTTCCATGTCCAGCTGACTTCATGAGTCCAGCCCCATCAGCCTTGCCCAAACTCATGACCCCGGACGCCTTTTTGACGCCCAGTGCTTCTGTAAGCCTTTAATATTATGAGTTCATCATTAGGTCGCATCAGTGATGGTAATTAATTATCCTTGCTGTCTTGTTTTTTCAGATGCCCGCCTCTCCTGGCAGCAGTGCAAGCAGCCTGACCATAGTCACGGCCATGAGCAGCTCAGACAGCGGTGCAAGGTGGGAGATTCAGCTCATTTTTGTCAAAAGTTTTCTTTTTCTTTTAACCCTAAAACCGTGTTCTGGACAAATGTGGGCAAAATAGTTTTGATTTATTTAAAAAAAAAATACTTCCTTGATCTGAGCGGTACAAGACTTGGCTACTTTTCCTAAGTTTGCCTCCTGAACACACACAAATTTTTTTTTTGACTCAATTCTACAATGTTAGGTGGGTGAAAAAACCCCCCTCAATCTTGTATTTGGGTCAAAAATGGGCACCCATAGAAATTAATGGGAAAACTTATTTAGAGCATTCTAAAATCAGCTAAAATAAGACACCAGGTGACCCCAAAGTCACTTCATCTTTAGGTTTTTGCTCTAAGAACTTATTGGAATGATATTTTAATGTAGTTAAATTTAAAAAAAACCCAAAATAAAACATAATAAGCATAATTTACATAGAAAATATGGTATTTTTTGAAGTAAATAAATTCAAAAATACCTCCAAAATAAAAAAAACACCAAAAATGGATGGACATAACTTTATCAAAGACAGTGATATAACATTTATAATAAATAAAAATTAGGATCACACCTGAGTCCTCTGTGCCCACAATTTGTACACAATTACAGGATTAAGGGCTATAAAGTGAATACGGATTAAGGGCTACGAAACATTTTTACCCTCTTGATTTTCATAAGTGTTTTTTTAATTTTTTTTAAGACTTTTGGATTTCACTGTATGAATTACACTCGGTGTACAAAAGTACACGCCAGAGAGTAAAATATGGGCCCCATCACGCACTCATAGGCATTGTTCAATTATCTTTCTTCCAGGGGTGGAGATGATCTAAACCAGAGCCCTAAAATGTCTGTCGACTGTGGCAACACCAGCTTGAATCTGAGTGCCAGCGCTGGCAGTTCAAGATCCAACTCCATCCTTATCTCAGGCCTTGGGGAAAACATCCAGGTATTAATGGACATGGTAAATTGCATTTAGTGATATATTGTCTATTAGTGACAGTTTAAAAGATGTGACTTTGTAAATGTAAACTAAGACTTTTTTTTTTAAAGAAATTAATAATGTTGTTTAGCAAGGATGCTAAAAGTGACAAGACTAGGGCTGCATGATTAATCAAAATTAAACATAGGCATTTTATGTATGTATTTATTTATTTGTATTAGAGATGGGGCCGATCCGATCCTAATAGTTTTGTGAGAAACGAATACATTTAAGGATTTTTTGATCATCAATCAAAATAACAGTATTTATCAGAAATGGAAATCTTTACTGTCTTTACTTTGTTGTTTTTTTAATGTCAATGCCATCGTTTTGTCTCAAGATGCACATCAGTAATGTTTTATAGTAAATGTCCTAATTAAACTAAAGCTTAATCTAAGCCCTGTTTGTGAAACCAGACCATAAATTTCCTAATTTGATCCTAAACTTGAATGGAGGAGTAAATGCTTATGTCATTAGTGTAGATCTAGCATGGGCAATATCCATATCGACTGTCCATCTGAACAAATCAGATCAGGTTTCAGCATTCACAAAATGACAGCTTAGACCTTCAGTCCTTTAGATTTGATTTAAATGAAAAATGTAACAATTCTTCTGTTTATCTGGCATCCCTCCATCCACTCTTCCATTTAAAATCCCCATCCGGTTAGGGTTTCTCTCCCCCACTGGTGCCTTCTCCATCCCTACTGCTTGAGGCCTCTCTGCTCTGCAAAGCTGCTCCTTACTCTCACAGACTTCCCCTCCCTTATTTCCCATCTCCTCCTCCACAGGTTTCCTCTCCAAACCCTCCTCTCTCCCTGGATCTCCAGGCCATAGATCCCATGATTGTCCCTCAGGCCTCTCCGACCAGAGCTCGCTCTCCGGATGTCATTTCATCTGCTTCTACGGCAATGTCCCAGGACATCCCCGAGATCGCCTCGGAAACCCTGCAGAGAGGACTGGCCGCTGACTCGGCCTCCGTCCTGCATTCTGACAGCATGGCTTCAGCCGCATCGGTCCTCCACCTGCTGTCTCAGAGAGCCCGGAGCGGTGCTGAGCACAGTTTGTTGCCTCTCGAATTGGGTGCAGCATCTGTGGATGGAGAACAAAGACTCAATAGCACACCCTCACTACTAGAGACGGCTCTGTCACAGGAGAACGCTGTAGCAGCTGGAGGTTCTTGTTCTGACAGCAGCGTGAACCATGCGTGGCCAGCAGCACCCGATATCACACGAGAGACTCGCAACAGCCTGAGAGACAATGGTTTGGGAGACTGGTGAGTTGCTGTCCTATTATTCTATATACCATAATATAATGTAAAAAAATATCATTTGTATTAGTGCTGGGCGGTATGACCTTTCCTGGATGCCAGCCCCAACTCAGCCCCAGCCCACAACATTTTTTGGTCGGGAAGTTCGGTCTGGACTCGATCCATTGAGGAGTAATTATGATCAGTCAAAAAATGATCGGGCCAATCAAATTGCCAGGGTGGGCTTTATACGATGATGGACAGATGATCTTCAGGGACGTAATCATCACGTTATCAAAGCGCGCTTAACTGGTTTCCCTCAAAGATGACTGCAGCTGGAGATGTATAGACTCCGCTGTCGCGTCTGTTGTAAAATGAATCGACAGCGCATTCATTTTAATAGACAAACAGAAAACTGCAATCAAGGCATTTGTCGATCGGAAAGATATTTTTGGCTTCCTTCCTACATGATTCGGGAAAAGTGTAACTTATCAGCTCCGATGGTCGCTAAGAAGATGGGACGTAAAGAAAAGCCTGTGGTCGTTGTGGTTTCTCCTTTGGTCGCACTCATGGAGGACCAAGTAAAAGAACTAGCAACACTTGTTATTTTACTTCTAAAATAAGTAAGTTCTGTTGACAACTGTGAAATGCAAAGTAGTTGCCTTACTGCATTGCTCTGGTTGGTTGTAGGTCTACCGACTATCCAATTGAGTGCAGAGTTTTTTTGTTTTTTTCCTGGTTCGGTTAAAGGTTCTATAAGCGATGCTGGGCCACTATCGGCTAGCTGCCTGTCCCCTAAACACACTGTAAAAAAACGTGGTCTCTGTAGACACCACAGGCTGCACAAACGGCAACAAAAACAATCATGTCTTACCCGGACCACGAAACCTAACAAACAGTGTTCCAGCCAATCACTGGCAAGAAGTATTTGAGGGTGGGTCTGGGGGGTTAGTGCGCGTGCACTTGTGTGTGTGTGTGAAGGAGAGCAGCAAAGCATCAGAGGGAAGTTTGAAAAATTACCGACACACGACCAAAGAGACTTCGTTCTGAGGAACAAATTAAAAAGAAGAAGGATTCGGATAAAGAACGTGCAAAGTTCCGAATTTACATCGGTAGCAAAGCTTTTGAACGATGGCGAACTCCGGCGGCAGAAGGGCTTCCAGTCCGACATTCAGGTTGCTCTGTTTTTGCTGGACAGGTGGGTAACGTTAAATTGTTTTTTTTCTTCTAAATTGACGCTTATGTTCGCCAAACCCACACAAGGATATAATTAGCTAGAACTATGCACGTTCACAATTATTTCAGGAAGCACGGAAGGGAGGGGGAGGAGATGAGATGCGGAGGAGGGAGGGTCTAGCTCCGATTTGTTTGAAAATATTTGAACGTCAACACCCAGGATCGCTTTGAGAACCTTTAAGACACGCCTCATAATCAAAGCCCAATGTCAGAAAATGAGCAGTATCAAACTCATATTCTGACTAGAATGAGTGGGTTTTAACCACATTTTCTACTGACTGAGAGAGGAGATACTGCAGTAGATTGACTTAGAATGCCCTATTTTACTGTCATGAGTGAATATTATAGAAAAATTCCACATTTATGGGATTAATACAGGTTTGCAAGTCTTTTGCCAGCAGGAGGCGCTTTAGTAGCAGCAGAAATAGCGGTTTCCCTGGTAACGGCTGTACACAAAGCAGCAGTGCTCATAAACGCTGCTTTTTTTAGGAAAGATAGATTCAGTTGAAATAACTTTGAAGATTTTCTAAAGACTGTCAGTTCACTTCAGACACATTCATATAAAAACACCTGCACTGTGGTATATAAAAAATTCATGACAAAAATAAACGCTGCTAGTCGGTATGAAACCGTATACCACCCAGCACTAATTTGCATATATATTTTTCATCTGTTTTGTGATTTGATGTTAATTTAATATTAACATTTAGTATTGATTTATGTTTTGAGAAATTGAGAAATCCGTAATATTTGATGGTACAAAGCTAAAGCATTTGATAACTCTGTTTTGACTGTTTATTTCCAGCTCTAGGGAGGAAATAAAGGACAGGCACATTTCTTCCCCCTACCACAGGCGCACCTATCACCTGACTCAGAACGACAGTCAAGATGCAAGTGCAGAGCAGAGGTAAACTTTTACATTTGAGTATCACCTATACAGATGTCAGCATCCTCTGCAGCTCAGATCCCATTACCATAGTTTTGCTGTCTGTTCATTTTAACTGTCATACAAGCACTTTAGGAAGCTATAAAATGTGTGATTCTCAGTTTAAGGTAATGGGAGTATTATGAGGTCTGTGGCCACATAATATTAACATTAACACCAGCTGTGAAATAAATGTCTCACCAGTTGGCTGGTAACTTAATTAGGAACAGAAACATTACATGGATTCAATCCTATTTGTCAGAATATTATTCTGACCTTCGCTGACATCAGAGATGTGAGCAATTCAAATCAAGGACATGCAAACTGTCTGCTAAAGAAAACCTGTCACGACTCTCAATTTTGTATTTTTTTTTCCTCTAGGAATGGTATTACAAAAACGTCCTGTTTAGTGTTCTAAATGAGTTCTGCTCTGAAATGGGATTCTGAGTTTGGATGTTTCTGTAATACGAATCCTATAATGTGGGATATATAGGATATTCTTCAAATTAAGCCACCAAAACGGTTTCTGTGCTTGCTTAGTCATTTTTTGTTATTGACATTTTAAAGGTACACTGTATTTTTCTTTTTTTCTTTTTTCAAATTTAAATAATTAGTCAATATATAAATCCTTCCAAAAATGTTTTTTTGTCATACCTATTATAAGTGTTCATTTCAGACCTGATGGGATGTTTTTTATGGAAAAATGTACAGCATTCTACTCTCTAGTCTAGTGCATGTTTCGACACATCGGGAAATAGAGAAAAGGTGCTCCGGCTACTTTGACGCATGTATGATGTGGGAGTGGTGTAGGTTAGTTGTCACAATGAGTGAGAAAGGTTGACATTGAGAACGCACATCACAAACCTCTGGGGAAACGCCCATTTAAAAAAAATGCAAACAGAGGAGAGTCTGCTGGCAAAAACATGGGGATTTTTTTAGACAATAATCTCACAACCTATTCGATATTCTAGAATTAAGTCAACTAAACGAATATTCGAAAATTGTGACTCACCACTACTGCTTTGTTAATTTACCTGGTGTAAAACCCAGACACCATCACATAAATGTGGCTTTTTGTTGATGACTGTCCTACTACAGGATTTAACACAGAGAAACTATGTTCTGGCCCTATCTAGTTGCAAAACTATTTTTTTAGCCCAACGCAAAACTTACTTGCCGACCCCTGGTGTAAAGCATTATCTATTGTGAAGTGTCATCTCATCATGGTGGTTGTAGCGCTGTGCTGGAACTTATTTTCAAGGTAGTATCATCTGGTTAAAGCTACAGTAATGTCTTCAGCTACTCAGCTTCAGATCCTTTCCATCTAAACTCCTTATATCTCTTAAGCCTAGTAGTGAATGTTTTATGAGCAGTTGTATAAACATAATCATCTGCAGTCACGCAGAGCCTAAGCACAACTAAAACATTGTTCTAATACTAAATGCAAGCAGTTTTGGGTTTTTTTAACCTCTAGTGGCCCAAAAGTTAAAATAGTGTACCTTTTAATCAGCTTCTTGTCCAGTTAGGCAAGTAAAACCCACCTGTCCCAGTCAAGAGTTAATGTTGAGCACTTTCTGATTAGATAGATTTCTGAAAACCTATATTCTTCTTTCCGTCTGCATATCTGAGCATGTCCAAACAAGTCTTAGCATGACTTGACAAACTGTAGTGATAAGATAATAATGTGAATATGCCAATTAAGGCGCCTGTAGTTCAATCTTCTATACCCTGAGAACAATTTCTTTTTCTATTAATTTTCGTGATTGACAGTGATCATGATGATGAGGTTGCCAGTCTGGCCTCCTCGTCGGGGAACTGTGGCCCTCGCTCCTCTCACAGACTCCCCGTAAAAGACTGGAAAACATCACCACGCAGCTCCCCCAAGCTCAAGAGGAAGAGCAAGAAAGATGAAGGGTGAGTGAGCTGCCCTCCTTACAATGTAAATCTTCCTGATATTAATGTTTGTATTGTTTAATGTGGGATTGAGTGGTGAGCCCCTTCAGCCATATAATCTGATTGTGTGACTGATTAATCATCTTTGTTTTCTCCCTTCCCAGAGAGTCCTCACAGTCTAGACAGATTGAGAACCAGGTAAGTCTGTTGATCCCCTGCAGCACAATCCGAATGCATTTCGTAGCATTTGTATTGTGTAAACCCAATCAAAATGCACTAAGGCTTGTGATTCATCATATAAATAAAACATTAATGCAGTGCTAAACCATGAGTAACATGAATGTTCTGCTGTGACTTCTAAGACTTGCAGCTGTGCTGATGCTTGAGTGTCACGTGCGAGTAGTTAATTTGCTGTTGTGTTCTCAGATGAGCACAGAGGTTCAAGATGAGCTCCTGCTGATGTTGCGGAGCCAGCAGAGGGAGTTAGCCGAGCTGAGACAGAACCAGCTGGACATCCTGCAGAGAGTTACCAGCCACATGGATGCCATACAGAGCTCCATCATGGCTCATATCGAGCACTCCATGTTGGCTCAGCAGGAGCAAGAACGTATCCTTCCACTAGGGGGAGACTCAGAGCTAGTTTAGGATTAACGATATGAAATAAAGAGAATTATAAACGCATGGTATTTCATCAACAATGCTGCACTGGCTGAGTAATATTGATATTGTAGCCTATATTAATATTGCTCCATTTTCGTGATAAATAAACCAGAAAGTTAAAAGTACCACTCTACAGAATTTTAACTTAGAAATGTAGCTTCTTCATGTGTGGTGCCATTCATAAAACATTTAACTTCTCTTGTGTGACATGTTTCAAAGCAACTTAAATATAATCTAAGATGAAAATGAAGTAAAATTTAAGCCCACTATCACAAGAAAATGCATGATCTTTTTTTCATATGCATATGCACACACTAAAGAAAAATCCCTTTCGATTTGTCAGGCCCATGCTATTTGTTGTTAACTTTAACTTTAGCTGTTGACAGAGAGAAGAATGGAGCGAATTCTGGCTGAGGGACAAAGCCGGAACCAACAGCTCCACGACCAGCTTGCTCAGCAGCTTGTCCAGACTCTGAACAACAGTCTGTGCAACCGGCTAGACAAAGTTTTGCGTGAAGAATTGAAAAAGATCGTCCCACAGAGTGAGTGCCGATGTGCTAAACTTAAAGGGAGTAGTTTACTTTAAAAAAAACAAAAAAACTTTTGCTGATAATTTACTCACCCCCTTGACATCCAAGATGTCCATGTCTTTATTTCTTCAGTCGAAAAGAAATTAAGGTTTTTGATGAAAACATTCAAGCATTTTCTTCATATAATAGACTTCAATGGGAACCAAACGGTTCAAGGTTCAAAAGACACCAGACGATGAATGAGGGTTTTATCTAGCGAAATGATCGGTCATTTAAAAAATAAATAAAAAAAGTTTAAGTTTTGTAAGCTCAAATGCTCACCTTGCTCTGTTCTGTGATGAGTGTTCGTGACCCTCCTGTTCGAACTCGTTCATCAAAATGAACAAATCTTTTTTCGAGTCATGACTCAAAAGGGTCCTAAATAAGACCCTTATTCATCGTTTGGTGTCGTTTAAAGCCCTTTGAAGCTGCACTGAAACTCTCATTTGGACCTTGAACCGTTTGGTTCCCATTGAAGTCCATTATATGGAGAAAATCCTGGAATGTTTTCATCAAAAACTTTAATTTCTCTTCAACTGAAGAAAGAGAGATGTGGACATCTTGGATGCCATGGGGGTGAGTCAATTATCTAAAAAAGTACTTGTACTTTTTTTTGTCAACGTTCAATACAGCAAAGAACATTCTGCTCTTTTTGTTGTTGTTGTTTTTTGTCCTTTTTACTGGGCTGGAAAGAAGACTTTTATTGATTTTTGATGTTTATGTAGAGCTTATGTTGACCTTTTTTTATGCAGCCATATCGAAGAGTCTAGAACCTGTGACTGGCCAGATGAACAGCACCATCGCTGCCAAGTTAACCGCAGTGGAAGGAACACTGAAGGAAAATGTCACCAAAGTTGTTAAGTCCAAGGTCAGTGGCTTAACGTATGAAAAGAGATCCATCCAAACTTGCCATTTGTTAGGATATTATTTTCCAAAGACATTTCTGTCTGTAGAGAATGTTTCTCTGAAACTACAAACTGAGCAGTTCAAAAGAAATGTACCAACTTCTATGCACCAGTGTAGAACTGAATAATTCATCGCGGAAGACGAAACAGGCACAAACTGGGGAAAACTCGAACTCTTCGAACTTTTTGTCCTATTCTTCCATTCACAGAACACTACAGATGCCATCGGTCGTGCTGCTGCTGAGGCCATGCAGGGCCCCATTCAGGCAGCATACAAAGAGACCTTCCAGAGCATTGTGCTTCCTGTGTTTGAGAGAGGCTGCCAGTCCATGTTTCAGCAGATCAATGACAGCTTCAAACAGGGAACCCACGAATGTAAGAATCATCACAAAAGGCTTTGCTACCTTTCTGACATTTTATTTCTGCTTTTTTACAGTAATAAAAAAAAATCACCATAGTGCATATTAATGAATCTAGCAAGTTGTTGCATGCTCTTTAGATCTGTTTTACACATCTTGCGTCTGTACTGTAGCACCAGCCCTTTTAAAGGGATACTCCACTTTTTTTTGGAAATAGGCTCATTTTACAACTCCCTCAGAGTTAAATAGTTGAGTTTTACCATTTTTGAATCCTTTCAGCCGATTTTCTGATATTTAGAAGAACATCTGTCACCACACAGTTTCTGGTCTCATTGACTTCCATAGTAGGAAAAAAATATCCTATGGAAGTCAATGAGAACAGAAACTGTCTGGTTACTGATATTCTTCTAATTATCAGAAAATCGGTTGAATAGATTCAAAAACGGTAAAACTCGACTGTTTACCTCTGGGGGAGTTGTAAAATGAGCCTATTTCCAAAAAAAAGTGGAGTATCCCTTTAATGTATTACTAAATGTATAATGACTTTACTTTCTCCTACAGACATCCAACAGCTTGAGACGCATATCAAGAACAGGAAACAGCGGGACCAGGATGCACGGGATCCTGTGATTGGCCAGCTGCAACAGATGATTGACACACTCCAGAATTCTCAAGACCAGCTGGCCTCCACTGTGACGGCCAGCGTGTGCTCTGACGTTCAGCATCAGCTCCACATGATCGTGGGAAAGTAAGGCTTTCTGTCACATGCATGCAGCACAGAGCCTTTTTAATATAGTTAGAAATCACAAATCAATATAAGGTATTCTCTTTCCCCTTGTATGCCTTCCCTTATGGATAACTTTGTTGCACGATTAGAGTAGATTCGGTTGTTAATGCAGAGAAAGGGTTTTTTTGGGGGCAGCTCTGCATTATGGACATTGCAAAATTGATCGGTATGTGTGGCACTCTTCCTAATCCTGGATTTAATTCGCCAATAAAGCTGGTTTTCCTCTCACATATAGGCAATGAAGACTATGTAGTATTAAATTCAAGTTGGAGGGATTAAATTCATGTGGCGTTTCAAACAAAAATACGAAGATAATTTGTCACTAATTAGTTTGATACGTTGAGGTTTACACTGCAGTCTCATATTTACAATACAACATTTCTGTCGTAAAAACCAATACTTGTAAAAACGTAATTAGGTCTTTAATCTTTTATTGTATTTTGACATTTTTCACCAATTGATACGGAAGCTGGCATGGTGTTAAATTATAATCAAACAAACATGAAATTTTAATATATCCTGCACCCATTTTTAGCATATATATATATATATATATATATGTATGTATGTATGTATGTTTATGTGTGTGTGTGTGTGTGTGTGTTTTTTATTATTATATATTTATTTATATATATATAATATTATATTATTATAACTATATATAGGCAAATATGACTACATTTATATCATTTAATCTGTCTTTTGAATAAAGTCTTTTTAATATCTAATAGATGTTTGATTCTGCAAACAGTGTTGTCTGCTTAGCGTTTACTTTTTAGTCATGTAATTTATTTATCAGTAAAAAAAAACTTTTTTAGGATTACATAATAAAGAAGTTGCTTTGTAAAGTGTTTTTTTTTCCATACTGGTTTTGTTTCAGATTATTTCTAATTTAGTAAATAATATACTGCATGCAATGAAGTAGAGCTTGAATGATTCTAGAAAAAGTAAGAATCACGATTTAAAAAATAAAATAAAAAATAGAGATCATGATTTTCCCATGATTCTGAATAGACAACTAAACAAAATGGTGTAATTTACTGGAGGTTCTGACAAAATGTTAATTGCTGGTCTATTTAATCAATTGTTTTTTTTTAAATTCGGTTTGAATGAATAATTCAATGACTCGTGCATAAAGCCTCACTTGTTTCATTAATGGATGAGTCTGTTTTTGAACCAATGAATGTTTCAAAGACATACCGATTGGTTATGTATTTTTTTATATTGTTGTCGTAGTCTAATGGTGTCTCTCCTCTCTGCAGCCTGCAGGACTCAATCCTGACGCAGGTGCAGCGCATAGTGAAGGGAGAGGTGAGTCTGGCCATGAAGGAGCAGCAGGCAGCCGTCACCTCCAGCATCATGCAGGCCATGCGCTCGGCTGCAGGAACTCCTGTCCCCTCCACACATCTGGACTACCAGGCCCAGCAGGCCAGCATACTGCAGTTACTACAGCAGGGCCAGCTCAACGAGGCCTTCCAACAGGTTAGTTACCAATCGCTAGACATATACATATGCCTGATATTTCACTCATGATATCATGCTTCAGTGATCATGTTTTATGGTAATTAGTGGTGCAATTAGATAAACTGCTATGTCATGTACGTAGCCCTTTTAACACACTTTTACATGCGTTGAGCCAGTTCTCAACCAAGCTATTTTCTTTCTCCCTCAATAACTATTATTTTTGTAGAAAAAAAACATCAAGTACACAGATTTAGAATACATTTAAATTATTCAATGTATGATTAAATTATTTAAGAATACATTTAAAATTTAATGTATGTTTTCTGTTAAACAATGTTCCAGTGGAAAGGTCTACAAGGTTGAGAACCACTGCATGAAGCCATATGCCGCTGCAAAATGTGCCAAACTAACTATTTGCATTTTGTGAAATGTAAGCGTTTAAAGTCCACATGAAATCAATTTTGGAGTTTTTTTGGCTTTTAGTATGAATATGTTAGTCTTACTGTTATCTGTAAGCTAGTGCTCCAAAAACAATGACAATTCCCATTTACAAGATATAAGCATTCAAAACTTAGTCAATTATAGGTCAATGATTTTGATGACATCACTCTGCACTTCAGCTTCTCATCAGATTTTGTCCAAACAAATACTCTCTAGAATCTAAAGTGCACCACCCCATACATATAAATGCTGAAACTGTGCCTAAAATCAGTCACTTATTCACACATTTACTATTTTCTACATGGTAAATATAATATATTGGTGTGATTATTCACTAAGTAATTTACTGTTTCATCAATCAAAACTTTTGAAGTTTTATGATTTAGTTGATTTGTACACATTACATTTATTTACCAAGTCAAATATAATAAAACTCCTAAATGCTTGCAATTATTATTTTCCCAGCGAGAAAGTAAATATAATCTTAGAGGATTATGTATATTTAACCAACCACAAGTACATTCCACATTAAAAGAACACTGTTTATCAAGTAAAGGAGTTAAATTGTGGAATAGTTGTTGTAATGAGTTAAAACAAGCCACATCTATTTTTCAGTTTAAAAAATTTTAAAAGAGAATAACATTGGGAAAAAATATACAATAGAATAAAAATGAATTAGACAGGCTTGCTTCTGGTGTGGACAATGGTCCACTAATGTGTTAATGTTAATTTTGTGAACAGATGTTGTCATTAATGAGTTGCATTTGAATCTAAAGTTAAGGACAGGCATTATAAGCTTTAGCTTCCGCCTGCACCTGGTCATATATAGTATTTATGTTTCGAATGATTTGATTGATTGATTGAATGATCTGTAAATGACCAAACCGAATAAAATGAAAAATTATAAACTACATGCTATTGGCTATTTTAAAAATGGGGAGGAGCTGTTCGATTTTGTTCCGTCCTGTATTTCTGTTTCAGTGGAAATTACATTTTCATACATTACATTTTTACATAAATCAACATCTTGAATAATGCTGCGTGTTTCAAGCCACTTCAATCGGTCTTTAAGGGAAACCTCTTTACAAACACTTCTCTATGGAGGAAATCAGTAGCATTTTTTGTTACCCTCTGTTCAAGTTAAATAATGCAAATCCCTAATAGCCTAATTAAGCTTTTGGGAGGTGACGTCTCAACATACGTGCTGACAGTCAGGCTGCAATAACTGTTCAGTAGTCTCTTGATTTGTATTCATAACTTGTTAATTTATTACATAATTAGCATTTTTGGTCAATTTAGTGGTTGTAGAGAATCACTATAATTAGTCTGTATTGTTGGGTGAAATTGAACCTTTAGTTTAATACTTATTTCCACAGGTGACACAACATGGGATTTGACCTTTTACTATGGTCTCTCTATATATGTGATATGTCTTGTAATATTCCTCTCCAGCTTGCTGTGATTTTTCTTGCAGGCTTTATCCGCAGCAGACCTGAATCTGGTGCTGTACGTGTGTGAGACCATTGACTCTCAGCAAGTGTTCGGCCAGCAGCCCTGTCCACTCCATCAGGCCGTCCTCCTGTCCCTCATCCAGCAGCTCTCCACCAACCTGAGCACACGCACAGAACTCAAGATCAGGTTTGTTCCCTTCACCTCTATCAGTCAGTGCAGTCATGCTCTATACTCATCTCAAAATGTCCTTTATATAGCAGTTATTCCTTCAGCATCCATTTGGTATGCCAAAGCATGCAGAGCTCTGTGCTTTTAATGATTAAACTGTTAAGTACTTATTTATAGTCCTATGCGGTTTCATATCACAGGACATTAACGCTTTAAGACTCGAGACATCGTCCTCTTCTCTTTAATTCTTCTGTGAATGACCTTGTGTTGAAGGGGACATTGTCTTCTGTGGCAGTGCTGCATTGGGCTGCAGTTATTAAAGTGCTGTACAGTCTGGGCTGCATTCGAGTTCTCTGCAGGGAGAAAGGGACTAACTCTTGTGAATCTCAGAGTAATGCTCTGCCTGTGTGCTGCCAAGTCCCTTTACTGCTATAAACTGCGATCTGCCAGTCCTATCTCTGAATTGCACTCTAAAATACTTGTTTCATACTGTCCATATGTGCATAGACATTGCCATCTGTAAGTCTGTCCGTTTTCTGCTTGGACATGAGGATGTTATTTTAAGCAGTAAGGCACATGCTTTAGGTTTTATATATATATATATATATATATATATATATATATATAGGGCTGGGGAAATGGATTGATTGTTTTTTAAAATGTGGTCGATTCAAAATCGATTCTCAGCGACCACGAATCGATTTTTTTTCCATATTCAGGGCTCGCGGTGCTGCGTCTTCTCTCTCTGCACAAAGCAAGCATCAAGCGCTGCAGGTGTTGACACACACTCATGTTTAGAAGTCGGGACATGAGGAATATTCACTTGCACAGTCGGGCCAGCATTGCATCATAACTAACGTTTATCATTTTCATATCCGTTTAAGTCTTACCAGTTTAAACATTCAAGCAATTTTAAACTATCCCGTGCTCACGCGCTCTCAGAGATGTCTTTCACTGCACGCACATACAGTACAAATCCACCTCACAAACAGCTCGCCAATAACAAAAGATATTTTTTTGTGGATTAAATCACTTTACCAGTTAAAAACACACAAAATTATGTCAACTCTGGCCTTGACATTCGGTTATGTCTTAAATATATAGCATAAAGCGCGTGTGACAGAGTAGCCTATAATGAAACAGTAATGGATCCGCGCACTAGTTCTTAAAGTGAACGCAGCCATATGTGTCTGTCATTAATTTTGTTGTCAAAACAACATAATATAGCATTAATTGAAACGAATCCCAATTAATAGCCTTTGTGTTTAATTCAGTCAGGACTAAAAGACTATCGAGTTTTATTTAACATTGGATTACTTTATTCAGTTTTTGTAGTATTTCTGCCCTATACCAAAAACTTTTCTTTTTATGTCTGTTTATTTGTGTCTTTATTCTATTGTATTTGTATTTATTTGTGCTACTTTTTTTCCAATGTATTTCAAAGATTGAAATCAAGCTTCCATGTCCAAAAAATACCCCATTCTAAAAACAAACATTTAGGTGAGATCAATGTAATAAAAAAAATGTCTAAAAAAAGATAACTGATATTTATTCATCTATCTTAAACTTAAAATAACCAAATCCTGTTTGATCAAGGTTGTGACTGTTCTGACTTGTTCAATTTTCAGCATTAATTTAGCATCTTGCATCAAAATCCTGTCTATTCATTGTATGCATTAAGTGTATAGTGTACCTAAAATAAGTTTTATATACAGGTTTGTCGCTCTTAATTTCTTAATTTAGGACATAAGTTTACAAGTGGTTAATTTATGCACTGTTCCTTTTATAAATATGGATTTGTATTACATCTATATTAATTATAGTCGAATCGAGAATCGAAATCGAATCGAATTCGAACATCTGAATCGATACCCAGCACTAATATTTATAGTGCCCGAGTCTACCCTTTTGTTTATGACAGGAACTATTAGATGCCTTCATATGAAAATCAAACTTGAATATGATTCATATTCATAAAAGGAAAGTCTCATAATTTAATACATATTCAAATTATGAATAAAACAAATGTGTTAATTTGAAATGTTTCTTAACTGCCAAATTAGCATATTTTTATGATTTCTGAAGGTTCATGGGACACTAAACGGCTATAAGGCTATTCAAAAATGTTAAATTAAATGACAAAAATTATTCCAAACTTTTGACAGGTAATGTGTATAATTTAATGGCTCATGAACATTCACCAAGTAATTTGTTGAAAGATCCTGACCAGACAACACTATCATGACCCAATTATTAATCACACACTACACCTTAATTCCAAATTGGACATGTGATACAGTACATAAGACGCATTTGTTTTGGATTTAGCTACAGCTTGCCGAGTGCAACAGAATGGGACGAGCAGGGGTCTTGAAGCACATTTTAAAGAAATAATCGAATTCGCATTATTTTTTTTTTAATCTTTTGACCTGAACGCTTTGTAATGTGGCACTCATGGCATGTGATACTGAGAAACAAGTCTGGAATTAGCACAACAGCTGCTTCACATTATGTAACACTTGAGTATTAAACAACAAAATGCAGTGAACAGTAAAACGAATATTGAAGTGGATGTTTTTTTTTTCCCTTCAATTTGGTTTTCCAGGCCTGGGTATTTTTTTGAATCTCAATTGGTTTGCTTGTTTTTAGCATCACATGTTCTGTCATACCACCAAGCCCTGCGCGTTATGCTCCGCAGTGATCAGCTCTTGCCTTCGCAAATAAAGGTTAGCAGAATACAAGATGTAAACAGTAATTTCTTTGCACAGAGAATGTAATATCTCTCCGGGCCAATAGATTATAGTTGAGATAACAGGACTGTGGGCTTAAATGAATTGGAACAGGGCCTACACAAGTGAAAATAGAGCAAACTGTCATGAGGCATGAAAGCTGAGCCATCTGGACAGGACCACACCGCAAAGTCCTGGGGATATTAAGGTCATTGTATTACATTTCATTTTTTTTAATCGGAAGCTTAAACTTAATGATCGCTTGTAAGGTAATTAAGATGACCTCTGTGCAACATACCGCTCAAGTCTCTGGTGGTATCATACAGCAATGTCTATTCATTTTAAAAGACAGATGGAGAGATTTCCCACATAGTTTTCCAGACAGGTGGCATTTTACTAATCCTTGATGGACTTTATAAAAACAAGCAGCCTGGAGAGAAGACCAAAAAAGCTTTACCCTAGAATAGCTTAAAGAAATAATAACAAACATGTTCTGTTAGTACAGCTGTCAAAAAAACACCAGATTTGTGTTTGAGGACTGGAATGAATGACCAGTGCTAGTCAAGCGAGGATGTATTAAATTGATGAATTTTTATATTTCAAATAAATGTTTTTCTTCATAAAAGCCTGAAATAAAAGGCATCTTGAGCAAATGTTTCTTCAGCACCAAATCAGAATATTAAAATGATTTCTGAAGGACGCTGAAGACCGGACTAATGGCTGCTGGAAATTCAACTATGAGAAGCTCAGACCTCTTGCACTTTTTGAATTTAATATTAATACATTGTTAGAGGTCTGGCCCAGTGCAAAGTGCTTCCAATATTAATGAGATTTGGCTTCAAAGCAAACTGGTGATCGTAACAGGAGAGATTAAAGGAATTTAGCCTTCCTGCAAAAACACTTTGATGAAATAAATGATGTAAACGGCGGCTCCAGTTGAATCAAAGCCTGAAATAAGAAAATATTGGCTTCTTCATGAGTCATGACGCTGATGATTGCATGATGTCAGGAGGTGTTTTTCAGTTTCAGTGAGCTCTTAAAATGCCTCTAGAAATCAATTTTTTTTTTTTTTTCGGGGTTCCCATTTATTTCAAAGGCACTTGTTCGGAGGTATATACTTTGAAATGTGCGATTTTTGCTCATGGAAGTTCATATCCAGGTTGTTTTGTGTGAAACACTCGAAGTTAAACTCCATTTGACTCGTTTCTCTGATGCCACAGCGAAAATAAAAAACACTGCCTGCACCACAAACACTTCTCTAGTGGAGTTAGAAAAGCCGTAGAAAGTGGAAATGGCACGTTCTTAAAGGGATACTCCACCGGTTTTTCATATTAAACTGTTATTTTCTTAAAGACGACTTGATGCAAACCTCTGTCATCTCAATCGCTCTGGCGCGCGAGACACTTTGAGCGCACTTAACTAGCCCAGTTCATTCAATATGGGCCAGGCAAAGAAGCGACCAAACACCTCCACGTTTTCCCTATTTAAAGCTACACTGTGTAACTCTTTTAGTTTATTCTTAGCTAAAAACTCTTAGTTCTTTCAAAAATATATGTGCTCATTAACGTATATTTACTTCGTTCAAGTAATAAAGTATTCTCGTGAGTGTATAATATGCCTTTGAAAATACATACGGGTAAGGGGTTCTAATGTCGGTCGCCATGTTGCCCCTCAAACTTGAAAGTACATTAGCCAAAGAGGGACATACCCGTTAATTCAAGCTTTAGGTTGGAGTTAACACTCATGGACGAGGTCGAACTGGAAGCCATGTTAATCTTGGACTACATTGGCCACCGTAGGAGTTAAAACAAAATCGGAATTGAAAGGAACAGAAACTAATATTCACTGGATGGTCATATACCTTTTCACCACTAGATGGGGGTAAAAATCACACAGTGTAGCTTTAAGGGAATAACATAGTTTAATATGAAAAAACGGTGAAGTATCCCTTTAAGTTCCCTGGCAAAACTGCAATAATATAAAATGTTACATGCAAAAAAATTGATATCATGAATGGCCATCTTTGTAGAAAGATTCTTATCTCCTTTCTCTCATTCATGTGTAGCTATCTAGAAGATGCCGTGATGAACCTGGACCACGGAGATCCAGTCACCCGAGACCACATGTCTGCAGTGCTGTCCCAGGTACGACAGAAGCTCCTGCACTTCCTGCAGCAGGACACCCAGAGCCCTCTGAGCAAGCGTGCACGGCGCCTCATGATGATGCTGCAGGGCCTGGTCAATCACTAGAGCCCCTTCAGATGGTCACAAGCCCTCAGTCAGCGTCCCGTCACGACCTTGTACCACCCTGCTGTTCGGTTGCTTATCTTAGTTCTGCCGCTTATTGGCTATCTCCAAAGCACTATTAGGAGTTGTAGTCCAGACTTGGACATAAAGATATATTGGTGGGTTTGGACTACATCTCCCCATCCTGGCCTTCCTCCTCTTTTTGCCTGCACATGTGAAAAATCATCAGTTTGTATGCGGCACTATCATCAATGCAGAACAGGACATGGGATACTTCAGTTCATTCTTTGAGACCACGACGACATGGTGGTGTTTCTTTTTTTTTTTTTTTTTGGCTTTCATCCTCGACAAGGAATCAGGAACAAGACTGTGGAGAGCATGAGAACGAAAGTAACCTGCTGAACGGATGGTTTTCAGGCTGTTTATTTTGGTGAAGCGCCATTAAATGCTGCAGATATGGAGACATGATCACCGCCTCATGAACATCAGCCCTGTCGGTTATTGATGGTTGTATTTAGGCTGAAAATAATGCTGCTTTCTCATGTCGAGTGCAGCATCAGACATGTTCCTGGAATTTTTTTTGGCAATTCTATCGGGATACAAAAAGATCAAAGCGAGATTTCTGTTCTCACACAGTTTGATACCATGTTTCCCAATCAACAGAGCCCTGTAAAATATGTTTGAGGGCTTATATTACCAAGAAATGCTAACCACACATGTCCCATCGCATGCAGTACAACTGCAAGTCTCTAGAGGGCATGCATCTATATATAATTCTTTTCTAATTTTATATGGTGTTTCTTTTTTTTTTTTCAGTTATTCTGTGAAATTACACTACAGCGAATGCAGCAAGGCTTTTTTTCTGTTTCGTATGTATCGTAGCCCCCAAATATTTAAAAGTGTTGGAGAAAGGGGCTGGAATGCCTACTTTCTGCTCTGTTCTAGTCAGTTGCTCGTATTTGATTTGGACTGAGATTGCCGACACTTGTTATGGAGGGACTATTTGGCCATTCCCTCTGATAGAGGAAGAACAAAAAAGAAAGTGCCTTATCAGCCTTTTGCGTATCAGATACTGGTAATCGTTTCTTCGATCCCTATGATGGGCGCCACATTGGTGTGTGTGGCCTAGCTTCAAGCAAATTTTCTTTCTCACTTTAACACAGAATTGGACAGGGTTTTTCCTGAAACGTTTCCTTTAAAGTGCTGTAAACTGTGATCTGAGTTTGTTTTTTGTTTTATCCCCCCTTCCATTATTTCCTCACACGTTTCATCCTAATGCAACAAGGAAGTGCCGGCCCGTTGATTGTGTTTAACACATTATTCGTTCCCTGTCATTTTTATTTTTGAGCTGTGCATATTATATCCGCCGTCTCTGTGGCTCATTAGGACATTTTTACAGGGTGTAGGCAATGTGTCCTTTTGCTTTATTCTCTTATGTAAAAAAAAAAAAAGCTCTTTAACAGACATGAGCCTGCTGTGCAATTGAGGATAAATCTGAGGCTCTAATTAGGAAATATTAAACTCGGCATGCTTGCATGCTACTGGTGAGAGCCATGTATACACAAGTTAACCTGTTTTTACGAATTTAACAGCCTATTTTGTTCTGTGAACCTGTAGTAATCCCTTTTCATTGTCATTTCACTTTCTTAAATAGTATAGTTTCCAGCAAAGATAACCTGCGATCGGATAGACAGTTTTATGTTATGTCGGGTTGAAATGTCAGTTTTAAGGTTTTGTTGCATTGCGAGAGTAATTGGTTTCGATGCCGTTTTAGACACGTCTGATGATGTTTGGGTTAATACATAGCCTTCAGTGTTTGAGGCTTACACAAACTTTCTTTTTTTTTGCTTCTCAAGAGATTTGCATTGCAGGTTGTGTACGACAATTTAACTGTAATTTTTTTTTCCATTTGTGTTGATTTTTGTTCCTTATGTTTGGAATTGTGTTGTACATTTTACACTTGTTTCTTTCATCCTAGATGTTTTTGGAATAAAAAAAGAAAAACATTGTTCAATGTTCAGTTAAGGCTGTTTTCTTTTCCATAGTTCTGTTTTAATTCTTGCAATACGCAGTGGCACCTCCTTACACCTTTCAACGTGAATAAAACTACAAGTTGCTCATGAAAAAAGACATGAACACAGGCCTTAAAGGAGTAGTTCAATTTAAAAAAAAAAAACCTTTGCTGATAATTTACTCACCCCCATGTCATCCAAGATGTCTTTCTTTCTTCAGTCGAAGAAATTAAGGTTTTTGATAAACATTCCAGGACTTTTCTTCATATAATGGACTTCATTGGGAACCAAAAGGTTCAAGGTCACAATGAGTTTCAGTGCAGCTTCCAACGGCTTTAAACGACACCAGACGATGTGTAAGGGTCTTATCTAGCGAAACGATAGCTCATTTAAAAAAAAAAGTTAAAGGGTTAGTTCACCCAAAAATGAAAATTAAGTCATTAATTACTCACCCCCATGCTGTACCAACCCCGTAAGACCTTCGTTCGTCTTCGGAACACAAATGAAGATATTTTTGATTAAATTTGAGAGCTGTATAACTACCACATTGGCTCCTAAAGGACTGCCTCTTGACGGCCCAGAAAGTCAATGAAGAAAATGTTTAAATATCCCAAGTGACTACCGTGGCTCAACTATATGTTTATCAAGCGACGCGAATACTTTTTGTGCGAAAAAACAAACAAAAATAACGAGTTTATACGACTATTTCTTTTCTTCCTTGTAGGCCAGAACGAGAATTCCTTAGATTTCCACGACGCATGCGCGAGATTTGCGATCTGCTCACACCAGCCTTCACTACTTCAGATCGCAATTCTCGCGCATGCGTCGTGGAAATCTATAAGGAAGTCTCGTTCTGGCCTACAAGGAAGAAAAGAAATAGTCGAATAAACTCGTTATTTTTGTTTGTTTTTTCGCACAAAAAGTATTCGCGTCGCTTGATAAACATATAGTTGAGCCACGGTAGTCACTTGGGATATTTAAACATTTTCTTCATTGACTTTCTGGGCCGTCAAGAGGCAGTCCTTTAGGAGCCAATGTGGTAGTTATACAGCTCTCAAATTTAATCAAAAATATCTTCATTTGTGTTCCGAAGACGAACGAAGGTCTTACGGGGTTGGTACAGCATGGGGGTGAGTAATTAATGACTTAATTTTCATTTTGGGGTGAACTAACCCTTTAAGTTTTATAAGCACAAATGCTCACCTTGCTCTGTTCTGTGTGACTCTCCTGTTCGAACTCGTTGATCAAAATGAATGAATCTTTTTCTGAGTCGATTTGTTTGTTGGATGAACCAAATGACATGGGAAAAAAGGTAAAAAAGAAAGAAAGACATGGATATCTGGGATGACACGGGGGTGAGTAAATTATCAGCAAAGGTTTTTTTTAAAGTGAACTACTCCTTTAAGCAAGGGTTAGGACGTTTAAGTAGCTTTTATACACTTGCCGCCTTGTAATCAATATACAATCGTAATACACAAGCGAATACGCAGTTATGATTACGATTTACTTCAACCTAAGTGTAATACTTATTAGTGTAGTAGGGTTTTTAGTATATTTATCTTATAATACAATAACATAATGCATTACATATCGTTAATTAATACAGTCAAGTAGGCTACTTTTAAATAACAAAATATAGATTTTCATCAATGTGACATTTTATTTATGATATGTATCTGCAGCCTATGTAAGTTACGTGACCAACTGACGTCAGCATTATGTAATGTTTGCTGATTTATTAATGATAGCGTATGTAGACTAGCGTGTAGTAATCCGTGAGTGAAATGAAAAGTTGTGCTTGCTCGAAACAACCCTCCGTGTTCCCGCAGCCTCCTCCCCTTTACTACAAGATACGCGCGCGCTAGTGAATCATTCATCACTCCAGCGCAATGCAAGCTGATGCTCAGAGTTTCTGTTAGATGAACACCTCTGACTGAACTATCTTCAGTTTCTGTGTACTGGGATCTGTTCAGGATGACACCTCTCCTCTGCAACGCCTGCCTCATCTTGCCTGTTGCTTTACATCTGCGTAAGTTGATTTCATTACATTTTCTCTTGCCAGCACACACCTGAGTGAAATCACCGATGGATTTTGTGGTTTACTCAGGCTGCTATGAATCAGCATCCGAGATATTAGGAGTAAAATAGATCGAGAGAGGTTACCTCAGCGGATTATGCTAGTGTCCATGGGCTGTTTCCCCATTTTAAGCGCGACAGATGAGTTTAAAAATCAGATAAAACACACACTGGCGCAGTCTCGAGGAGTTGAGTCGGTCGAGCTCTGGATGTTACCGGGGCACCGCTGACGTTTCGCTGCTGCTTCGGAGTCAATGCAACTGTTCATGTGACTTATTTCCCCCCCGAGGATTTAGTGTGTGTGTGGAGGGGAAACACAACTATAGGATCAAATCATGAATAAAAGCATCTGTTCACTCCTTCACAGCTCTTCTCTCCAGAGAGAGTAGGCTTAACCCCCTTTTGCCAATTTACGAAACAATGTTGTCAGTCATCACCAGAGTTAAGGAGAAAATGTGTTTAAACCGTGTTTAGGACTTAAAATCATAAAATCAGAATTCTATATTAGTTCATTTTGACGATTATTTTACTTTTTGAGGACATTTTTTTTTTATTTTTTCAAGAAGAAAGAATCGTTTTAAAGGAGTTAACAAATTAGAAATAGCTATATAATACACTTAAACATTTTAATTATTTTACAGACATTTTAGAGGAAGCAAATGGTCCAAAAATGTATTGGTTTTCATTCGTTCTTCCTTTATTTATTTTTCTTTGTTTCAATATACAACTGAGTATTAAGTATTAAGATTTCAGTTCTTGGATAATTTCGAGACTGAAAGCATACAATAACCTGCAGTTTAGTAAAGCGAGTCAGATTACACCACCAGTAAAGTGATTTTGATTCACTAAATAAAGAACCGACTCATACGAGTCATTCATTCGGGTGTTTCTAAAATCGCATACTCTCTTGAGTAGGTAGGCTACTTATTTTGAATAAGTAATTACTTCACTCACAGCCGTGATCTATAGTATGAATGGGATCTTATAGCGCTGTATATTTTTGATATTTTAAAAGAACATACCCAAATGAGTCATTCGCTAAAGATTCTACACTGGTTATGTGGTTGATTCACTAAAAGAACCGGTTCATTAGAATCATTCGTTCTGACCAGGTACCTTTTTACAGTTTGGCTCTGACTCCTCTGCGCGTTTATGTTCAAATGAAGACCGTTCAGTCAACTGTATAGATCGTTATTTTGTCGACGTGTTGTTCGTGAATATTACCACTAAGCATAACGAGAATCATATTATCACATGATGACTTTTGTTTATAGTGGCTCCACTCCACACTACTACCATAATGGTTTATTTATTATTTTTGTGCCTTTATTAAATAGGACTAAAGAGAGATGGGATTGGAACTTTTTTATATTGTTCTCTTCAGAAAAGCATCAGAAGAAACTGATATAAACTGTATAACGAAAATATATGTGCATCTTCATCCGTGCTGTTTCACTTCTTTATGATACAAACTTGCTTACTGCTGCAACATCATCATCAATTTAAATGCCATAAAATATGAGCTATATGAAATATCATGCAAGTGATTAAAAAACAATAATTAGTCTGCGAGACACCTACATTGGATGTAGTTTAAAGTTAGTTGATGTTTTTGGCAACTCGTGGCTTTTGAAAAAAAAAACATTCCCACATTTTCACAAAATGTGCAATTATTAGCAGGTGCTTTTTTTAAACCATAATTTACAATAACAGAATCAAATCAGTTTAATGGGGAGAGTATTATACCATGCATGATTAGAAACCACAAAATAAACCCATGATATTGCTAAAATACAATGTACATCTATTTTTAGCATGTCTGTCACATTGCCACACTATGGAAGGCTATATTTTGTAACTACAGATGAGTTGAGACAGTGAACACAAGGGACTTGGGCAAGTGTGGAAGTGGTTATTTATACACAAGTGAATCAATCTTCAGTGTGAGATCTAGAGTTAAATGAATAATGAAGAGGATTGTCTTTGTTGGAGTATGAATGCAGAATCTGCTGTATTGATGGTTTTTGTGAGTTTACTGCACCACCGTGGATGGACAAGGTCATGGTTTCGATTCTTAGAGAATACGTAATAAAAATCTCTCTTGGTATTAGCCTGAAGGTAAAAAAAAAAATACTGCATGCAAATAATAGACATTGACATTCACTTAATTATCCTTCATGAGGATTCCAGTGGTATTAGTAATACTTGCAAACCAAAGCACTATTCAGTCCCAAAGTGCTATTTGCTGAACGTACAATTCAGTAGTTTATGGAAAAGACAGATTTTTCATATGTTGTTACTGCTTTAAATACCTCGCACTGGGTGGTAAGACTTTTTGATTTAGTTTAAATGGAATAATTCATATTTTGGTTGATTTTAAAAATCCTCTCAATCTTTTTTGCGCTCTCGTTCTCTCCCCATATCACTTTCATATTCATACGCTTTTGGTTTGAAAATTTAAAGCGTGCTCTGTAGACAGTTTTCCGCATTGAAAGGAGCAGACACGACTTCTGAGTAAAGATAGTTTTAAGATGCCTTGAAAACTAGGACACTAATGTTTACCGCCAAGGATAACATTCTATCTAATGGTCGTTTTTAGAACATTAATTACTCAGTAAATAGGAAGTGGTCTGATTTGCAGGATTGACAGAAAGAGTACTGTTGATGTACTGCAAAGTGCCAAGGTCTTTCCCTCCCATGCTTTTCACACAGTTTGTGATGGTAACTTCTGAAGTGTTTGAGACATCAAGACCTTCTTTTAATTATTAATAATACATATACACGCATAGAGTGGGGCCTGACATCTGAGGCCTCATTGAAAATCTTGGATTCAAAACTGAATTTAAACCTGTAAACAGATATATAATATAAAAAATTATATTAAAAAAACATGTATACATGTATAAAATATCACAGATTAAACGTATAATATGCAACCGGTCAGTACTCTGATTTAAGTAACAATTTAGTGAAAACTGAACTGACTACACTGGTCACATTAGTCCAGTAGCATTGTTGCACTGAATAACATAAACTGAATTTTAGTAAGATGTTTCTGTAACAGAACTGAACATCCAAGAATCATTTAGTTCCTACAGAAACTTGTTTCCGCCACTGAATAAAAAAATATATATATAAAAATTGCGACTTTTTATCTAACAATTGCAAGATATGAAGTCGAATTGTGAGAAATAAAGTCGCAATTGCGATATATAAAGTCGGAACTGTGAGAAATAAAGTCGTTATTGCGAGATATAAAGTCGCGATTCTGAGAAATAAAGTCGCAATTGCGAGATATAAAGTCGCAATTCTGAGAAATAAAGTCGCAATTGTGAGAAAAAAAGAGAATTGAGACTTTATCTCACAATTCTGACTTTTTTCTCACAATTGCGAGTTTACATCTCGCAATTCTGACTTTATAACACAATTGCGAGTTTAGATCTCGAAATTCTGACTTTGTAACACAATTGCGAGTTTAGATCTCGAAATTCTGACATCTTTTCTCAGAATTGTGAGATATAAAGTTGCAATTGCGAATTATCAGGCCAATTCTAAGGGGAAAAAAATAACTTTTTTCCCCTCAGAATAGTTTATATCTCACAATTCTGACTTTACAACACGCAATTTCAACTTTTTATCTTGCATTTCTGACTTTATAACAACATTATGCAACTTTACATCAATCAATTGTCACTTTATATCACGCAATTCCGACTTTATATCTCGCAATTCTGAGAAATAAAGTCAGAATTGTGAGATAAAAAGTCGCAATTACCTTTTTTATATTTCATTCTGCAGCGGAAACAAGCTTCCATAAGTTCCTACATTTATGAGAATACCAAAATTTTTTACACTTTATTTTGATGGTCCTTTAGACATTCTGCTAACTATAAATAACTTTGCAACTACATCAACTAACTCTCATTAGAATATTAGCAGACTGGTTACGGTTCGGGATAATAGAATAAGTTGACATGTAGTTGCAAAGTTACTTATAGTCAGTAGAATATCTGTTTGAGGACCATCACAATAAAGTGTTAGCAGCTATTAAGCAGACTACCAATGAGAGTTAGTTGACATATTGCAAATTTGGGAGGTGGACCATCAAAATAAAGTGTTAACCCAAAATATAGAACTTAAATGTGAGGCTTGAGCTGTTTGCCAATTTAACTGTCACCCAAAAGCATAGACCAACATTGATTTTTCTCATATTAAAGTAGAGAACTGCAAAACAGAACCATTTTAAGAAGTCTCAGACTTCAGCCTAACTATAAAGGTTTTTAACTATAAACTATATAATAGAGTTTCTGGTCTTTTGTTATATACTCTGTAAATAAGCGCTGTGAAATGAACCAGCAGCTGAGGCATGACATCCCCTCGACTCCCCACCCTGTGACACCGCGAATGAATATTCATGAGAAAAGTGACTTACTTCTTGAAGTTACAGGAACTTGTGTCCTCTAGAAGTAATGAATCCTGAGTGATTCAGTGGTGTGAGCATTTGTGTGCATGTGCTTAGAGTGTGTGTACAGGAGAGAGAGAAAGACAATGACATAACTTGCAGGGGTAATTAAAGGCAGCTGAACTGGACGCAGACTCAGTATACTGCATAAGGATCATGTGTTTTCTTCAAGTTCAACCGAATATATACAAGGTCACCGAAGTCCATCTCCCAGGTGGTAAATTTTGAGTGGGTTGCATATCTGCATCAGAGGTAAGAAGCCCTCGGGACATATGGAGGCTAAATGTGCTGCCAAATACGGTCATCACACTTTTTTTGTTGCACTTTTTACAACTAGAAGAAAGTCTTTCATAAAGTCTAGTACTTAAAAATAGGGTATTTGACTGACTTCTATGAATATGACTGGTACATATCAAAGTAATTGTGATTATCCTAAGGGAACTTTATAATGTTACACACTGTAAAAAAAATATTGTTGGTTTAACTTAAAA